TAATAAATATTATAATTATTTTTATTGTATTATTATTATTACTAGAGGTCCCGCAGTAGTCGAAATTCGACTATAGGTAATTAATTGGAATTGTAAGTTTGTACACTATTATGATTGTATTTTATACTTCTATAATCACAAATTTCGCCAAGACTACACTATATAAAATATTAACAAAGACAAACAATATTTAATCTATTCTCAATTTGACAACAGACGTCAAGAACAAAAGTTTCACAATAAATAGTATGCATGCGTGTGTGCGTCAAATACAGGGTATGTAGTGTGTGTAATGTTTTCTTTATTGATTTAATGTATCTTTTATGCATTATTTTAAAAAAATATTAGCATTGTGCACTTCTTCTCTATATTCTCTATAAGTGTGGAAAATTTCATACTCCTCCGTCCGCGCAATTTTCGTAAAAAGGGGTACAAAGTTTTGCTTCACGTATTAATATATTTCTAAATAAAATTTCAAGTATTATCATATTATATTGGGTAATAAATATTATAATTATTTTTAATATATGTATTATTATTATCATTGGTTTTCGCGAGTCGCAAACATAACTAACACTACTTTAAGTTTTTCGTTTTTTTCTTATTTCCAACGTTTGGGATACTTTACGATTTACGTGGTTCTCATTTCTTGACCATTAAAGCATTTGTTATTTTTTTATTGCGTAGATGAGTGGACGAGCTCACAGTCCAACTGGTGTTAAGTGTTTACCGGAGCCCATAGACATCTACAACGTAAATGCCGCCACCCACCTTGAGATATGATTGTGGAGAGTAATAAGCGGTAGGCAGCGGCTTGGCTCTGCCCATGGCATTACTGAAGTTCATGGGCGACGGTAACCACTCACCATCAGGTGGGCCGTATGCTTGTCTGCCTATAAGGGCAATAAAAAAAAAGATATGAGTTCTAAGGTCTCAGTATAGTTACGACGACTGTCCCACCCTTCAAATCGAAACGCATTACTGCTTTACGGCAGAAATAGGCAGGGATGGTGGTGCCTACCCGTGCGAACTCACAAGAGGTCCTGCCACCCTAAATTATAGCGGTCATGGAGTTCCTCTCGACAACTTAACTAGTTTTGCTAATATACAGTTTTTGTCTTGAAGAAGCCGTTATGGTTTGAAGGGTACAACAGTTGTTATATAAGACGGAGACATCAAATACACAGTTCTGAAGGCGACGTTATAATTGTGATATCAATGGGCTCTGGTAATAGTGTGAAGTTTGTGGTGAGGTTATTTATAGTTAGTTGTATTGTCATCCGGAAATCTCATCGAAGCGCTCACTAAAACACTAAGCTTATTTACGTTTTTTTATTTTTTTATTGCTCTTGTAGGCAGACGAGCATACGGCCCACCTGATGGTGAGTGGTTACCGTCGCCCATGGACTTCAGCAATGCAGTGCAGGGGCAGAGCCAAGCCGCTGCCTACTTTTTTATTTATTTATTGCTTAGATGGATGGACGAGCTCACAGCCCACCTGATGTTAAATGGTTACTGGAGCCCACAGACATCTACAACGTAAATGCGCCACCTACCTCGAGATATAAGTTCTAAGATCTCAGTATAGTTATAACGGCTACCCCACCCTTCGAACCGAAACGCATTGCTGCTTCACGGCGGAAATAGGCGGGGTGGTGGTACCTACCCGTGCGGACTCCCAAGAGGTTCTACCACCAGTGATTACACAAATTATAATTTTGCGGGTTTGATTTTTATTACACGATGTTATTCCTTCACCGTGGAAGTCAATCGTTAACATTTGTTGAGTACGTATTTCATTAGAAAAATTCGTACCCGCCTGTGGAATTCGAACACCGGTGCATCGCTACATACGAATGCACCGGACGTCTTATCCTTTAGGCCACGACGACTTTTCATACTTTTATAGCTTATTTCATACCTTTAAGTACACAAGCCCCGTTTGATGAAGAGCTTGTCATAGCGTTTATTGGCGTCAACGACGGCGGTAGATCGAGGCACGTTAAACACACTAACCGACTATATCTCGCCCTCTATCTCGTATAAAAATAATGTTAAATAAAAAAGTTGTAGAGAATTTAATTCTCTACAATATTGACAATAAATAAAAATAGCGTAAAACCCATAGAAAAAGGGGATATTTGTGCAAAAAAATGTTAAAATAAATCGATTTTGTGACCTTTGACCCTTGACTTGAAAACTTGCGACAAATATATGTGAATTTTGAGAACTGTTTTATACTGGGTATGTCGATTTTCTGAGATATGCACCTAAAACAGTCCCAAAGTGGGCGATAACGCCCCCTTGTGGGCGCCGTAGGCCTAATGGGGGGCGGTAAAAGACCCAGAAAAAAATGGGGGCGTTGTGTAGAGGCTTGGGAGGCGATTTTAATTTCATCTAGGAGGACTCTTAGACACGACTGAGCTCTCGCTATAGTGGTTTTTAAGCAGGTAGAAAAAAATGGGGGCGCTAAAAAATAATTTACTCTCAAAGTGGTCAGTAGACAAAATAAGTTTGGGAACCACTGACCTAAAATGACAGGACTACTAGTAAGCTAAGGGAGGCGAAGTATCATCCCTACAATAGCAATCACTTAACGCCAGACTGAACGAGCGCCAGTAAGCCAACTGATAACGTTCAAATAAACGAACCATAAACAACGCAGTTAAAAATATGAGCACAATATATCCAAAAGTTACATCACGCTCAAGCGATTATACATAAATATTTAAAAAGTTCATAGATCACTCTCCGATCACGTTTTCTCATTCCGCCAAATGTTCTAATTGCACGTTCGATAAGTAAACCGAGAAACATATAAAAAAAATATCTCATTAATAAAATTATCAAAGTTGCGATAAGAATTTTTTTTTTCATGTAACCAAAAAAAAAATTGTTTTTTAAAACTATTTTATTTAAATCGTACGTATTCAATCGACCAGTATTATGTAGTATTTATAAATTCAGTTAAAATGTAGATTTGTAATGAAAATCCGCGGGCTTCGTGCCGATTTTTCTTATTAATAATATACCTGCCGCATTCTGGATCAGTGCTAAAATCTAAAAAATTTGTAATAAGAAAATAATATACAAGTATTTTTTTAAAAATAATGGAAAAGAATGGAGAAACAAAGCCAAGGATACGGAAGAGTGGAGCAAGCTGGAGGAGGCCTATACCCGAATGGGGTTCCAAACACAAGCTTATATTTAATTTTGTAATTTTTATTTGATAAGGTGTTTTTCTATTTTTTCTTTCTTTGTCTTTGGAAATAAAATGGGCTTATTATTATAATTTTTTTTTTTTTTTTAAAACAACACGAACACCATTTCTTGTATATTGATGCATAACTATTAAAGAAAACCTTCCCTGTAGTAAAAACAATAACTGACCAAAAAGACAAAATTTCGTCACAATCAAATGGAATTGGGAATGCATAGATGACAAACATTTATTTGAAGTGAAACTTCTTTATCGGCGTTGGAAAAAAAATTACCGTCACATTTTTCGGTTACGCGTCACATTTTTCCGTTACGCGCCATCTTTTTCTTGCCCCTACCACGGTTGGTTCAGACGAAGAGTACTTTCACTTTCTCCAACGGAGTAGGGATAGCATTAATGTTTCACTTCTTACGTGTGTACACTAGTACACGCACACATTTTGAAGTGAAACTTCTTTATCGGCGTTGGAAAAAAATTTACCGTCACATTTTTCGGTTACGCGTCACATTTTTCCGTTACGCGCCATCTTTTTTGTATTCATGTCTATGATAATAAAATCCTTTTGTTTAAACTTTATCTAATTTAACTTTTTGAAGTGAAACTTCCTTATCGGCGTTGGAAAAAAATTTACCGTCACATTTTTCGGTTACGCGTCACATTTTTCTGTTACGCGCCATCTTTTTCTTGCCCCTACCACGGTTGGTTCAGACGAAGAGTACTTTCACTTTCTCCAACGGAGTAGGGATAGCATTAATGTTTCACTTCTTACGTGTGTACACTAGTACACGCACACATTTTTTTTTTTTATTTAAACTAGAGGTCCCGCAGTAGTCGAAATTCGACTATAATTAATTGGAATTGTAAGTTTGTACACTATTATGATTGTATTTTATACTTCTATAATTACAAATTTCGCCAAGACTACACTGTAAAAAATATTAACAAAGACAAACAATATTTGATCTATTCTCAATTTGACAACAGACGTCAAGAACAAAAGTTTGACATTATATAGTATGCATGCGTGTGTGCGTCAAATACATGGTATTTAGTGTGTGTAATGTTTTCTTTATTGATTTAATGTATCTTTTACGCATTATTTAAAAAAAATATTAGCATTGTGCACTTCTCTATATTCTCTATAAGTGTGGAAAATTTCATACTCCTCCGTCCGCACAATTTTCGTAAAAAGGGATACAAAGTTTTTGCTTCACGTATTAATATATAGATAGAAAGAATAATGAAGCCTCGCTGCGACCGATCGCTAAAAAAACTCACGCGGAAGTTACTGTAAATTTATTGTCCTTCTATAATCACAAATGCATACAATAAACTTACAAAATTTGCTCTAAATCGGAACAGAACGGTACGAACGAACATCGATTTCGTGTATTAAATATAGCGAAATACCAATTTTATAATTAGAATTGATGCAGTGTTAATTTTTACACTGATAATCCACATAGCAACATAACTTTAGAAGCTTAGTGTTTAGCTTAGTCCCGAGTGCTATAACATATATATATTTTTTTGTTAAGTGGTTACTGGAGGCCATACACATCTACAACGTCAATGTGCCACCCACCTTGAGATAAATTCTAAGGTCTTCGTATAGTTACAGCGGCTGCCCCACCCTTCTAACCGAAAGGCATTACTGCTTCACGACAGAAATAGGCAGGGTGGTGGTAACTATCAGTGTGTACTCACAAGAGGTCCTACCATCAGTAAAATTAATTCATCATTAAGTTTGATGATTGAACCAGATTTACCTTCTTTACAGTTTGCCTACCAATATTCTCGTATGGTACCGCCATGGGCTGGATCTCCCCTCACAAAGCGCTTCTCATGGGCGAAGACACACCATCGAACGCCCCCGTCACGGAGACGGAAGTATCCTGGATGGCGTCCATCATGTTCATATTCGCGCCGATCGCCGTCTTCATCTATGGCATTGCTGCTGACAAGTTCGGAAGGAAAAATGCTCTTCTCTGCTGCTCTATTCCGATTGCTGTAAGTATTGATGATGACTCGTATTCTCGGTGCAAGACTTTTAAGCTGCTTTTTTTATTGCTTAGATGGGTGGATGAGTTCACAGCCCAACAGGTGTTAAGCCCAAGAACCCGTAGACATCTACGACGTAAATGCGCCATCCACCTTGAGATATCAGTTCTAAGCTACGCTAAGCTTACTATAAAGTCAATGATTACCTAGAAGATTGCACAAAGTGGGAATGAGTTGCTCGCTCCGGGCATTTCAATATTGCAATAATTGTTACGTTATAATACTCCTTGTAATGAATATTTTAAAAAAAATCTATTATTATAAAAAAACTAACAGTTAAAAAAAAACATGCCCGCTGAGTTTCTTGCCAGTTCTTCTCAGGACGGATGCTAGTTTTTGTGAATTGGCGGTAGTTCTTTTTGACGTTCAACAAGTGTGTATTTATGTTGAATATTTTTTTTTTTACTTGATTTGATTTGATTTCATAATGTCTCAAGTCTGGTTACAACGGCTGGCCCGCCCTTCAAACCGAAACGCATTACTGCTTCACGGCAGAATGCTTATTTTGTTTTTGCGTAAATGGGCGAAAGATCCTTACGGTCGCCCTGGTGTTGAGCAGTTACCAGAGCTCATGGACATTAAAATGAGAATGTCACCTCTAACTTTGAGGCTCGAACTCTGTTCTATTCTGTCTGTTCTATTATATTATTCTTTAATCGTGAGAGTCATTCGTAAGCATGTGTCGAGTACGTATTTCATTACAAAAATTGGTACCTGCTTGCAGGATTCGAATACCGGCTCAGACGTATCGCTCGATAGTACACCGGGCGTCTTATCCCTTAGGCCACGACGCTTATACTAATATCTTCTTCTTCTGAGTCGGTCTCCTCATTGCTGAAGGTCGTGTCTAATTTGAAATGTTGACCACTCGATGCACAATGCTTCCCCACGTCTTCCTGTCATCGGCGGTCTTTATAGCCTCAGTTATTGGCAAGCCGGTGAGCGTCTTTACCAGATCAGACCAGCGTGTAGGTGAGCATCCGCGTGATCTTCTCCCGTCAACCTGACCAACTACCATCAGCTTCTCTAAATTATCGGGGCCTCTACGAGCGATATACTTTCCTTTAAATGTACGATTTGTGACAGAAATTACCATAATGATCGTTCATACTAACTCGCCACGTCCCACCACAAACTTACTAAGTAATTACGCTTTGATTAAACTAATTCCTTTTATCTTGTAGGTCGGCTGGATGATAAAGTTAATATCGGCGCATCCAATAGCCCTGATCGGGGCCCGGGCGTTCATTGGCTTCGGTGCTGGAGGAGCCTTCGTGGTCTGCCCCCTGTACGTCAAGGAGATCAGCGAAGACAGCATCAGAGGAATGACCGGAACCTTTGTTATTTTTTCGCAGGTAAGTTTTCACGCAACTTTATATAAGGCAGGTTAAGAATCGGCTCTGAATTAGCGGGGTAACCCGGAACACTAGCGGCTCTACCTGGGCAACCTTGCGGAACCGCTACACTGCGGAGACCAGCGTCATTGGTCGTCGACGATCGCCGCAACGACCCGTCAGTCGAGCGAGTCTGGTTGTAGTGCTAACCGCGGGAACCAGGGTGGAGGTCGGACTTCAGGTGAGAGAATGCAAGGGGATTAATTTGGTTGATAGATCCCTAAACACATTCTTGGGTCCGTGGTCTTCTTCCAGCATCTGCAGAACGTTAAGTCTCACATGCCCCCTAGGCGCGGACACCTCGTACGAGGCTCAACCCTTGCTCGAAAATAAAAAGATAAAAATAGGCAGTTATAGGCTGTAATTTTTTTTAATACGCTTTTATTAGCTTCAGACGTATGTATGATAGTAACGGAATCTTTGAACATGATTTTGACCCCCTTCAAAACGTCGGATTAACTCGAAATTTGGTATACTTATTAAGGACCGATGACAAATCAATATTAAAAGAAAAATTTTAAAAATTGAAATTCAACTAAAAAATTAAAAATAAAATTAAATAATAGTTTCAAAAAACTATATTAACAAAATACGCTTTTATAGAAAATCTAACTAAAAATAGAAAATAAATTTGAATCAAATAGTGTAAGGAAAAATGATTTTATTGTAAAAAAAGCGTGGGGTGCATGGTATCAGTAGTTATAAATATTTTATCAACAGATATGAGTAGAAGGGTTATTTTGATAATATCCACCACACGTTTTTATAATAAGCACCACACGTTTTTTTTACAATAAAATCATTTTTCTTTACACTATTTTTAATTCAAAAAGCGTATTTTGTTAGTTTTTTTAAACTATTATATATTTTTCGTTTTTAATGTTTCGCATTGCTATTCATTTTGTGTACAATAAAGAACACACACTCTCTCTCTCTCTCACTCTCTCTCATTCTCTGTTGCAAGATACTAACATCCAACTTACCACGAAGCAGAAGCCAGAACGGCTTATAGCTTACAATAAAATTGATGTTCTTGTTGTCTTGTCTTGTGTTGTGTCTATTTGCTCCCGTGGCCATTAAACAAACAAACAAACAATACCTACTTAGTTATTCTACTTAAAGAATCTGCAGTTAAGCTTTTCATTCTTCGATATCGGACAGGATACGACGTCGCTATGTACTACTATGTAATAAGTAATACGACATAGTACGGTCTTAACAAAAACATCGTTTGGGTTCTGGAAATGAAATTAGACACTCGTATCCCGTGATAAGATTTGAAATGGGGCAATACAAATAAATTTTATTTATTATTAATTAAACGGATAGTGCGCAAGGATGAAACGCTAAATCGTGAAGCGTTCAACTTTTTTTTTAGGCAGTGGCTTGGCTCTGCCCCTGGAATTACTGAAGTCCACGGGCGACGGTAACCACTCACCTTCAGGTGGGCCGTATGCTTCGTCTGCCTACAAGGGCAATAAAAAAAAAGTCGAATTGGTGGATGACATTCGTGAACATAATTATATTAGGTACGTGTTTTATTAGAAGAAAATCGTGCCTGACTGCGGGATTCGAACACTGACACTGTTGAATCGCTATACACGAATGGACCGGGCGTCTTATCCTTTAGGCTACGACGACTTCAACGGTAGGTGGCAGCTTGGCTCTGCCCCTGGCACTCCTGGCGTCCATGGGTGACGGTAACCAGTCAACACCAGATATGCTCGTCTGCCTACTAAGGCACTAAAAAAACATATCTTGGGTGCATATTTCATCAGAATTTTCGGTACCGTTGTATCGCTCGATTAAGGTACTGTTACACATGCTCATTCCAAACATGAAAGCATGCTTCTATTGAGCGGTTGCTACTTTGTAGCATGTGTGTCGGAACGTTGCTTTGGAAGTTTGCTTAAAAAACAACAGGCGTGCGATTTTTGAGTGCGTGCCATAAGCGCAAGGTTCGGCGAAAATGATAACCGATTGGAATAATAAGAACGGCACTAAACACAGAAACTGTAAAGCACTCCAAAACTGTAATTGTAAATTGTAAAACGTTTAAATAAACAAAGGAAATCAATTCGTAAAAGTGTTTTATCACGATCTCAAAAATTACGTACGTTTTAGCTCGAATATCCTAAATAATTTACACGCGTATTTCGCACTCATTACATACTATGTATAATGACTCATTTTACGCGGAAACTGACACACACACACACACCCAATATTATAATTTCATAATATATAATTCATATTAATAATTTCATGTGGTAATAATAATTATTATTAATCAAACATTAATTAAGCATCATATTTAAGCATATTTAGTATAATTCGAGGATGAAAAGCTATTTGTTTTAAGTGATATTTCGCTTAATACGCGACATTTATCTTTATAATTAAAGGTAAGTTTTATTTGGTACTAGCGACCCGCCCTCGCTTCGCTTCGGAAACATTAAAACACACATGAAACCAAAACAATAAAAAAAAAAAAAAAAAAAAGTTGCCTATGTTCATCAGGGACAATGTCGGCTTCTAATGGAAAAATAATTTTTCAAATCGGTCCAGTAGTTTCGGAGCCTATTCGAAACAAACAAACAAACAAATCTTTCCTCTTTATAATATTAGTATAGACTAGCTGACCCGGCCGACTTCGTAGTGCCTCAATCGATAAATAAAAGACCTAAACTTTTGTATAAAATAAACATAACACAAACAAAAGGAATCCGTCCGACGGGGGACACATCAAAGGGAAAACAAAACTGTTATTTTTATTTAATACCGAACATTTTCATATTTATCTACCTTTTAAACCTTCTCTGGACTTCCACAAATAATTCAAGACCAAAATTAGCCAAACCGGTCAAGCCGTTCTCGAGTTTTAGCGAGACTAACGAACAGCAATTCATTTTTATATATATAGATAGGTTAGCATCAACAGTTCGATGTTTCTATTTGAACTTCAACTAAGCTTACTCCAGTCAAATAGCTAAAGAGGATTTTTAATAATGAGTTCTAAGATCTCAGTATAGTTACAACGGCTGCCCTACCCTTCAAACCGAAACGCATTACTGCTTCACGGCAGAAATAGGCAGGGTGGTGATACCTGCCCATGCGAACTCACAAGAGGTCAGTAATTACGCAAATTATAATGACAGCCATCTAAGCATATTTTTTTTTAATCTAATCTAAAAAAGCAAAAAAAAAATTATGATATATTTTACAAATTTTGAACTTTTAATGAGTCCCCTGTAAAGCTAAAAAAATGTTGCTTAAGCCAAATAGCCTTACACTCATCTTAAATAATCAACTATCAAGACCTTAGCCGTCCACGGCCACGTAAACTATAAATTATTCGTAATGTCGAAAATAATGTATTTAAACAAACAATAAAAAACTGTAAAATTTGTTTTAATTGCAATATTTTTCTTGTTGATTTTAGTGAAGTGTCTTTGGCACCGATAAACCGTCCAGTGTATCTACTAGATATAATATAATAGGTACGGTACTTACCATTGCCGACTTTTTACTAATCCCATCACTAGTAATAACGCAAATATATTTGCACTGTTTTTTGGATGAACTTTTTTTTTCTCCTAGCTATGCTGATAGCCTTGAGAGGCTATTTCAGCTTCTCCTTGACGTGTAGGTGAGCTCACGGGGCTCAAACCGGGAGTGTTGCTAACATTGGTTCTAGCAAGAGCCGTGCTTCGCAGAATCTACCATCGGATCGGAAACGCGATCTAGTGAGAGAGCGAGATCCGGCGAGAAACTCAGTGTGTTTTAGTTTCATTATTTATACGCAATTTTATTCCTTTATCGTGGAGAGCGTTCTTAAACACGTGCTAAGTTCGTATTTATTATGAAGAACTGACACATGTCTGCGACATCTGAGCATCGGATTAGTGGCATGTGTCTCTCTACACCGGGATCGAGCGTAATACCAATATAATGCCATCACCCGGCCTATTTCTGCCATTAACGCGTTCCAATTTTACGAGGGGAACAGCCGTTTTGATACATAAGACTTAGACCTCATGACTCAAGATGGTGGCATTCACACTGTGCTGTCTAAACGATCCGTTAACTTACCATGAGGTGGTTCGTGAGGTCTTTAGCCTGTAGAGAACTGATTCGTCCAGTACATCATCAGTTCATGGTCTTTTTCTTTAAGTTGATTTCAGACTACGCTATACTATAGCGCCATATAGTATAGCAGCGTATAATTATCCAATAATATATAGAACAGTACAGTGTGAACGTGTCCATAGCAATGTATGGTGCGCGATATTGTTGTGCTATGAGCTATATACTATATGCTATTATATTATAGCATAGTCTGAAAGCAGCTTTAATCAATATTGTGCATCTATGCCGGCTCCGATTGCTATATTTTGGGCGTCTGACATAATCATAGCAAATTTAATAAGGAAAAATGTGCTCACAACATACAATTGTATGTAAGTTTTGGGTTTTCCTTGAACAATGGACTTCCCTTGATGAAAACGACAAGAAGCTATATTGAAACTTAGAAACATGTCCATCGAAAACAGCAATAGCTTTAAAGTCTATACTAATATAATATAAAGAGAACAGATTTGTTTGTTAGTTTGTATTGTATTCAGTACAGCTTCGAATCTATTGGCTCCGAAGCTACTGAATTTGACTGACCTGATTTGAAAAATTCTTTCACTGTTTGGAAGCTACGCTATTCCGGAGTGACATAGGCTATAATATATTTTGAAAAAAATTATGGATCCTTACTAAAACTCCGATAATGTAACCCAAGGTGTAAAAAAATTACCTAAAATATTCTTTACATTCCGTGCCCTGCGAAAAATATTGATGATAGAATAAAATAATGTACTACGAATTCGTAGAACACATTATTATTTACAAAAAGTGACGCGACAGCATATGAGCTCGTCTACCTATCTAAGCAATAAAAAACTTCAGAGGTGTCAAGGGACACCCGGATGGAACGAAGTTCCTTTCGATTAATTAGTGAAGGAATTGTAATATTTTTTTTAAGTTATAATAATAAATTACGGCATTATGAAGAAGAAAAAAACAATACTATGAACTAAATTACTGTTGTTGAAACGCTATCTCGAGAAACTGTACTCATTACGCGGACCAATCGGATACGAGCAATGTCACGCGATAAGCGCCTACACGTTGATTGGTCAGAATGACGGATCTAAAAAGTGTCGTGACAACTTTTCGTAAGAATTTTTTCCGTCTAGCCCCCTTTCACAACGCGCGAAAAGGAACTTCGTTCCAAAAAAAAAAAATTGTAGGCACATAACACAGCTTTCCGAGTAACTGACAATAAATATTCGAAACTATTGATTCAACACGCTAATTTCTGCTGCCGTAACACAATTATGATGCTACATAGTGCTAATTTCTGTTTTCGATTCACTTTTTTCGTTTTTCCATGTCACGTCACTACTCCAAACAGACGTCTTCATTATTGTTAAAATTTTCCATACATTCTAAACTAATCTAAACCATAGTGCACTAAACAGAAAGAATTGAAAAAATAGTGATGTAATTAAAATTACTTTTTTCATTTTTATCACGTTTTTCTTTTTCAATTTCCTTCGTCCACGTCACCACGAAAACTGTAGAGTATTTGTCAAAATCTAAACATTGGCAACAATAGAATGACGTTAAAAAACCTATCGTAAAATAAACTTAACGTAAATAATATTGGTAAAGTAGTTTAAAATTATGTTTCTTCTTCTTCGTCGCTTCCTCATTACTGAGGGTCGTGACCACCTTGGTCCAGTTTCTGCACCAGCTTCCTCCAATGTTGCCTGCATTCGGCCTACTTAATGGCGCCCGGGACGCTGGTGTTTGAGGCCTCCTTTACAATGTCCTTTAATACTGGTGGTAGGACCTCATGTGAGTCCGCACGGATAGTTACCACCACCCTGCCTATTTCTGCCGTGAAGCAGTAATGCATTTCGGCTTGAAGGGCGGGGCAGCCCTTGTAACTATACTGAGACCTTAGAACTTATATCTCAGGGTGGGTGGCTGTATTTACGTTGTAGATGTTTATGGGCTCCGGAAACCACTTAACGCCAGGTAGCCCGTGAGCTCGTCCATCCATCTAAACAATAAAAAAAACTTCAGATTGCGATCTACCTCGTCTTCTCTTTCCTTCCACGTGACCTACAACTATTAATTTTTCCAAGTTGTCAGGATTTCGTTGGGCCACGTGTCCGAAGTACTTGAGGAGACGCTGCCTACAGATTGTAGGTAGACGGGTCTTGACGTTTAACTCCGAGAGAATTGACACATTTATCTCCATGATGACCTGGAACTTGACTCGATTATTAAGTATATATAGTCGGCATCATTGCGCCACTTTGAAAAGGCGGCACGACATGAGAACTCTCTTGTCGTGGCCGCTGGAAACTACATACCCGATCCTGTAGACCGAATGGTAAACAGTCGACGTCGCCAAAAACATGTCCATGATCCTCCCGATCTATTAACGGTGCTTTTAGGTACCACAAGCACCGGTCACCGTCCTCGTCGAACCCGTCGCTTGCGACGAAGGGCTCGACGAGCGAATTAACCCACAGACACAGCCCACTGAGTTTCTTGCCGGATCTTCTCATTGGGTCGCGATTCCGATCCGGTGGTAGATTCTGCGAAGCACTGCTCTTGCTAGGGTCAGTGTAATCATCACTCCGGTTTGAGACCACTGAGCTCACCTACTAGTTAAGGTCACGCTGAAATAGCCTCTCAAGGCTATCAGATTAGGCTATCCGATTATTACTGGTGGTAGGACCTCTTGAGAGTCCGCGCGGGTAGGTACCACCACCCTGCTTATTTCTGCCGTGAAGCAGTAATGCGTTTCGGTTTGAAAGGTGGGGCAGCCGCTGTAACTATACTTGAGACCTTAGAACTTATGTCTCAAAGCGGGTGGCGCATTTACGTTGTACATGTCTATGGGCTCCAGTAACCACTTAACACCAGGTGGACTGTGAACTCGTCCACCCACCTAAGCAATAAAGAAAAATAGATTAGGTCGGCAAAAAAAGACACATTTTTTCAGCGCTCCATCCACGACAGTACGTCTCGCAAATCCCGTAACCAACACTAAAGACTTAATTTTTCTTGTTTTCACAGACAGCTGGAAACCTTCTAGTGTTCATCTTGGGTGATTTTCTACCGTTCAACACTGTGCTGTGGATACTGCTGGCCATCCCCGTGGTGCACTTCTGTGTATTCCTGAAGCTGCCGGAAACACCATCCTACCTCATCAAGTGCGGGAAAAATGAAGTAAGTCTTGTACCTTAAGTCATGCAACCAGTCTGAACTTTCTTTATTGAAAATGGACTGTTTATGAGAACGCATATTTTACTGGTGGTAGAACCTCTTGTGAGTCCACACGGGTAGGTACCACCACTCCGCCTATTTCTGCCGTAAAGCAGTAATGCGTTTCGGTTTGAAGGGTGGAGCAGCCGTTGTAAGTATACTTGAGACCTTAGAACCTATATCTCGAGGTGGGTGGAGTATTTACGTTGTAGATGTCTATGGGCTCCAATTACCACATAACACCAGGTGGGCTGTGAGCTCTTCCACCCATATAAGCAATAAAAAAAAAATTGAGGAATTCTTCGCAGCCAACAAAGAACGATAGGCATCGGTTTGGCTCTGCCCCTGGCATTGCTGAAGTCCATGGGCGACGGTAACCACTCACCATATGCTCGTCAGCCTACGAGGGCAATAAAACTATGTTCCACCTCAAAGCATTCCCTATCAATCATCTCGTTCGATATCAGAAAACCTATTAAAAATAATACGCATAGATGCATCGGTAAACATGATTTAAAAATAGTTTTTCTCTGCCGCGTGGCGCGGCGCGGTGCCAGATAAATTTTCACGGTCATTGAGACTGTCTAAGGTTGAATAATTACGTCTACGTGTACATAAAAAATGCGGATTGTCCATTACCTGAAGTTTTGATACTGAAAAGCAATTGCTTCATTTAGTTTCGTGTGAACTTGGCGTATTTTAATACGCTTTTATTAGCTTCAGACGTATGTATTTTAGTATGTAACGGAATCTTTGAACACGATTTTGACCCCCTTCAAAACGTCGGATTAACTCGAAATTTGGTATACTTATAAAGGGCAGATGACAATTCAAAATTAAAAAAAAACTGAACTAAAAAATTAAAAATAAATAATAGTTTAAAAAAACAAACAAACAAAAAAACAAACAAAACAATAGTTTAAAAAAACAAATCCTTTAGGCCACAACGATTTCAATTGTAACTAAACCGCCTATTAAAAACAGACTTTGTTAACAGGAAACAAGGAAGGTTATCGGTTGGCTCCGTTCGCTACCGAAAGACCATAAGCTGGTCAACGAGGAAATCGATCGGCTTATCGTTGAGCAGACCACATGCGAGCCAAAATTCTCTCCAAAATTATTATGTGAGTTAATAGTTTTATTATTTACTAGCTGACCCGGCAGACTTCGTAGTGCCTCAATCGATAAATAAAAGACCTAAACTTATACAACTTTTGTATAAAATAAACTTAAAACAAACAAAAGGAATCCGTCCGATGGGGGACACATCAAAGGGAAAACAAAATTGTTATTTTTATTTAATTCCGAGCGTTTTCATATTTATCTACCTTTTAAACCTTCTCTGGACCTCCACAAATAATTAAAGACCAAAATTAGCCGAATCGGTCCAGCCGTTCTCGAGTTTTAGCGAGACTAACGAACAGTAATTCATTTTCATATATAGAGAAGGTATATAAGATATAAGATAACCGAAATACACAAGCGATGTAACGATAAATGATATTTGAAAAGTGGAACTGTAATTAAAAACAGATAAGTATATATGTAGTTATAGGGTTTGGGCTGCAAAACAATGCGATATAATTCTGAATTCTTCGAATGATTTCACGCAAATCTACCGCGTGTGAACAGATTGCAATTTCAGTCTTAACTTCATATGTCGCGATTGAAATAGATTATTGAAATGTAGGTACCTCAAGCACCGGTCATCGTTCTCGTCGAACCCGTCGCTTGCGACGAAGGATTCGGCGAGTAAATTAACCCACAGACACAGCCCACTGAATTTCTTGCCGGATCTTCTCAGTGGGTCGCGATTCCGATCCGGTCGTAGATTCTGCGAAGCACGGCTCTTGCTAGGGTTAGTGTTAGCAACGTTGTCAGGTTTGAGCCCCGCTAGCTCACCTACTAGCTCGGTGAATCTAGAATAACCCCTCGACGTTACTAGAATAGGTAGAAAAAAATAATTGAAAACAACAGTATATTGTGGCGGTAGCCATCATACAACGCAAGATAATTGACAGATGCCTGAATCTCCCTTACGACATTTTCAAGATAAAGCGCATATATACAAGTTCCGAACAACAACATTCGGACCGTCGGTATACCGATGGCTACCCGCCACATCAAAGCCCCAAAATATTAATGATAATAGTATTTTTGTAATGTAAAACCTATCAGAAAACTGGCGTATTCGTATAATTTATAACAATAGCAATACGTACCAATTATTCTAAACAAATATCTATGATCGTAGCTATGTATAGTGTATACACAACGTTGTGTATACAGTAGTATACACAACTTGGTCTCAATGGGATTGGGAGCGTAAGCCCTCTTAAGCTATTCCGAATTTCGTCAAAATAGTTTCAGACACGCAAGCGTAATAAACATACAGAGCTAATATCGTATTCATATCTAATAGCATGCACATTGAACAAACAAAAGTCTTAAACCACATTGAACCGTATACACAGGAAGAATATGATCGATTATGCCTTAAACATAAACAACATCGATCATGTTTCCTTAACTATAAAACGCAGATAGAGAGAGACAGAGAGAGAGAGAGAGAGAGACCAAACAAATTTTTTTTTCAAAACATTTACCAGGGTACCAGGAAAACATGAATCCGCTATAGCTCGATGGCAATACGCTTAAATAACAATTGACCCGTCACTGTTCACTAATTGACATTCATAAGTCATTTGACACCGTGCAAACTCTTACAAACTAATTAATCGTTGGCTGAATTGAAAACAATGACCACAGAGCTGGGACGCGGACGGTATTCAGCGAGTCGCGTACGTCGAGTTATTTAACGTACTTCGTATAATATAATTATAGTCGAATTTCGACTTCTGTGGGGCCACTAGTCCTAGTAATTTTCTGTAATACACAACGCTCGAACTAATGAACAAATATAGCCATGCAAAAATAAAGCAATTTTTGATTTGCCGTCAGCTACACTTTGATAAATTGGCGGTAGTTAACGTGGTACGAAATATATTTGCCAGGTGCCTGAATCGCGCTAACGACATTTTCAAGATAAGCTTACATTTATACAAGTATATACATTCGGAAGCGCTGAGTTTCACGCTGGATTTTCTCAGCGGATCACGACTTCGATCCGTCGGTAGATACAGCGAAGCACTACTCTTACTAGGGCTAGTGTTAGAAAGTCGCTAGACTGAGCCCCGTGAGCTCGCCTATTCGTTCGGTAAGGCTAGGATAACCCCTCGAGGCTACTAGCATAGGTAGGCAAAAAAAAACACTTGGACGGGTCAGTCTATCGAGCAATTTCACCGGTAGCAGATCTTCCCTTTGTTGCTCCCAAACTGGTGACCTCAAAGTGATCTGAACACGCAACCTTCTGAAGAACTACCCTTAAAGATTTACTGGTGGTAGGACCTCATAGGTAGGTACCACCACCCCGCCTATTTCTGACGACAACCGTTGTAACTATAGTGAGATCTTAGAACTTATATCTCAAGGTGGGTGGCGCATTTACGTTGTTTGAGATGTCTATGGGCTCCAGTAACCACTTAACACCAGATGGGCTGTGAGCTCGTCCACCCATCTAAGCAATAAAAAAAAAGATACCCTAATAATACCATAAAGCCTACAACTAGCTTACTACTAGATCAGAACTGGCTTGTAATCCATCAATTTCATAACGCAATCTCACAATAATATTATAACAAACCCAAAAACGTATTAAACCACAACACCTGACTAAAGACATATCTACATGTTTTAAACTTATGTTTATTTTTTTTACGTTTGTGACAACTTCCCGGGTCTTGAATACTTTTACAGTTTTCGCGGTCACGGACGTTTAGTGTGTATAATTTATAAAATAAACCCGAGATAAAACCATGACGGTGTTTTATTCACGTCTGCCATTGTATACGTAACGCGAAAATCTCATAAAATAGAACACTACATTATCATTATTCAAATCTACGATATTGCTATTTTACTAGACAGCTTATGTTATATTTTTTTTCCTTTTTCGAACGATGTTTTGGAATCAGTTGTTGTGATCAAATGATCAGATGTTTTGAAATCAATGTAACAAGAACTAAGCTGGCCAGTAAAGCGTTAATGAAAATTTTTTACATATTTATCGATGAGTTTAATACAGCAATGCTTTTAATAAAAATAACGGAAGACATTTATTAATCTATTGCATAGCTTTTATCGCGGGCCTTGAGCGCGGCGACCGAATTCATGGAATTCCGTAACGAAAAAAACCTTACGCCCCTCACTCCGCCTACCATGTAGCTCGCGTTCAACACATTCACACGTTGCGCTTGTGTAGTGTTTGTGAATAAGCGCGTGGCGTGACGTCACACTGCATGCGCATCGTGAAAAGTCTGCCCATCTCTCTCTCGCGCGGTCTAGCTTATGAGTGTGAAAGGGACAGTTAAGGTTTTGCTTTTATTAATGTTTAATATGGCGTGGTCTTGTTTTATTATTGTTTTAATATTAAATTATCATTGGCTAATTATAATTGCATAAGTTGATAAAAAATGCTATGCAATAGATTTACCGCGGCAGTTCCCGAGTGCCACAAGTTTTTTTTTTTTTACAAACGCACTTGTTAACAGGTTAACACGCAAATCCCACATTCGAGTTTCTCTTCGGGTCAGTTTTTAAAAGTAATTTGCATTGCATAAAAGGCGGGAAAATCACTACGTTTGTAAATCGAGATTTCTACTACAATACAGTACTAATAATTAGTATGTTACAAGAAACAATAATGCGAACGCTTTTTAAAAAAATACTCCGACAAACTTTTTTTTTTTATTGCTAGATGGGTGGACGAGCTCACAGCCCATAAATGCGCCACCCACCTTGAGATATAAGTTCTAAGGTCTCAAGTATAGTTACAACGGCTGCCCCACCCTTCAAACCGAAACGCATTACTGCTTCACGGCAGAAATAGGCAGGGCGGTGGTACCTACCCGTGCGGACTCACAAGAGGTCCTACCTCCTAGTAATAAACTACAGGAATCATTCACGTTTATTTTCCTAAATTCCCGATTCGTTTATTTATTGTCCCAGCTCTATTCAATTGCCAGTTCAAACATCAAGGACGGATGTCCAGTCGCGAATGATTTTTATAAGGAGGTCGCGGCTATCAATTGTAATAATAAAAATGTTTTCGATTCGCTTCTCAATCATCATTCGCGGTGATGTCTTGAAATTATTTTTCTTTTGTTGATTTTTATTCGTTCACAATCCGAGATATTTGCACTGCTTGTTTTTAGCAACTCACTAGTAGTTCTAATTAGACTAGTGATCCCTAGGTAGTCGAAATTCGACAATAATTAATTGAAATTATAAGTTTGAACATTATTATAGTTGTATTTTATACTTCTATAATCACAAATTTCGCCTAGGCTACACTATAAAAAATATTAACAAAGACAAACAATATTTAATCTATTCTCAATTTGATAACAAACGTCAAGAACAAAAGTTTGACAATAAATAGTATGCATGCGTGTGTGCGTCAAATACATGGTCTGTAGTGTGTGTAATGTCTTCTTTTAAATGATAAGTGTTGTACATAATAAAATATTAGAATAAGAAGTGATAGAATGTAAAAATAGATAGATTTAGTAAATTTTGTGTTATAATTAATATAAAAATAAATTAAATTTTCGCATGCCTAAACAGGCGAAATATATGAAGCTATGTCCTATATCTTGTAAACTATATTTCTGGCGAATAAAGATTTTCTTTCTTNAGTGTTGTACATAATAAAATATTAGAATAAGAAGTGATAGAATGTAAAAATAGATAGATTTAGTAAATTTTGTGTTATAATTAATATAAAAATAAATTAAATTTTCGCATGCCTAAACAGGCGAAATATATGAAGCTATGTCCTATATCTTGTAAACTATATTTCTGGCGAATAAAGATTTTCTTTCTTTCTTTCTTTCTTTCTTTATTGATTTAATGTATCTTTTATGCATTATTTTCAAAAAATATTAGCGTTGTGCACTTCTCCTCTATATTCTTTATAAGTGTGGAAAATTTCATACTCCTTCGCCCGCGCAATTTTTGTAAAAAGGGATACAAAGTTTTTGCTTCACGTATTAATATATAGATTAGTAACGTGTTTTTTCTTCATTAAAATTTACGACAAACTTTGATTTTTATGACACGCGATAACATCAAACTGTTACTACGGTTTGTTTGACGAGATATGGCGCCGTATTCTATTTGTGAATGTTAAGTAACTTTAAATTATTATTTAAATAGTTATTTACTGTTTTCGTGCAGATCATACTGAAATCATTTTGCTATATTGAACTATTAAATCTTTTCGCGTATTACCACGAAATCAAAAACTTCCAATGGACTTGAAAATTTGCACCCATGTCAATTGACTTAATAAAAAAATAACAAACTCTTCTTGCTTGCTTTTCTGGCTTGCTACCGAAACGCTATATTGGTCGTTTTCCAATTACAGCACAAGAACGCATTATGCGGCATAATGCTCAACTAAGCTTCAGCATAACTCGGCATTGTGCGTCACTGAGTCGCATTATGCTCTGTAATTGGAAAACTACCATTAAGCAATGGTTAATTGGAAAACTACCATTAAGTAATGGTTAATTACAGAGCATAATACTACTCAGTAACGCACAATGCCGAATTATGCTAAAGCTTAGTTGAGCATTATGTCGCATAATGCGCTCTTGTGCTGTAATTGGAAAACGGCCATTTATTCTCGGCAATCATACTTATTATAATTTAAATAGATAATATTTTTAAAAAAAATTATTTAACAAAATATGTAATACTTAAATTGACAATTATCCTCTAAAATATTAATGTTATTGTTGTAATAATACAATGGCTTTGCATACCTACATGCTACAAATGTAGTAGTGTTAGGGAAACATCTATACTAATCTATACTAATATTATAAAGAGGAAATATTTGTTTGTTTGTTTGTTTGTTTCGAATAGGCTCCGAAACTACTGGACCGATTTGAAAAATTCTTTTTCCATTAGAAGCCGACACTGTCCCTGATGAACATAGGCTACTTTTTTTTTTTTTTTTTTAATTATTATTTTTTTGGTTTCATGTGTGTAATGTTTCCGAAGCGACGCGAGGGCGGGTCGCTATTAATTATAAACATCTAATCTATTTTCTTTTCATGATATGTATTTTCACGTTTTACAAAACCATGACAGCTATAGAAAATAAATACATAAGTTATTTTTCGCTCGATATATTATTATTATTATTAAATTCATTTATTTCAGATAAAATATTAATCCATGTTAATGTTAGGGATTTCTTAAAAAATCTTAGTAAGGACATAGTAACAAAACAAATGAAATGTACTAAATATGTATATACATACAATTACAATTACAAGTTTACAATTACGAACACATTTTATGGACCTCATTACAATGATTGCGAAAAGGTCCATGTATGTATTGTTACGCCGGTAAGAGTAACGCCATCTATCGCCGAGTAGTCGAACGAATATCGAAGGATCTAGTAGCACCTAGAACGCTCGAGAAGTACAACGCCATCTATTGTCAGATAGCGGAAACACAATACTCGAAATGTGTGGAATATTTTCGATAATTCCAGGGATTTCGTCTCGACTATAAAAGCGTTGCAGAGATGGCACGCAGTCAGTTAGTAATCGGAACTACTCGAAGCGAAACAGCGAACGGATCACCTGAAGCGAAGCGAAAGAAGCGAATTGATAATTTTAAAGTGTTTGTGAAGTATTCTAAATGTTGAATACAGTGTTAACTTGTAATTCGGTAGAATTTTATTTATCCCGAACCACAGCGCGTAACAGTATTACATAAATACATGTGCACTGGTGGTAGGACCTCTTGTGAGTCCGCACTGGTAGGTACCACGGCCCTGCCTATTTCTGCGTGTGAAGCAGTAATGCGTTTCGGTTTGAAGGGTGGGGCAGCCGTTGTAACTATATTGAGACCTTAGAACTTATATCTCAAGGTGGGTGGCGCATTTACGTTGTAGGTGTCTATGGGCTCCAGTAACCACTTAACACCAGGTGGGCTGTGAGCTCGTCCACCCATCTAACCAACAAAATAAAAATTTTAAAAAATTCCAAAAAAAACACAGAAAACATCGTTTTTAATATCATAACTTATCTTTTTTTTTTAGTTTCCGACAAGACAGCCGTCAAAGCATTCTGGGTGGCACTAATTGTGAACTTGACTCGTGAATTCTGCGGCTGCATCGCGATCCTGGTGTACGCGAGCCACATCTTCACGGCAGCCCGTAAAGACCCTAACACCAGTATATCTTTGTCTCCGAACAAGCAGTCTATCATGTTGGCAGCTGTTCAGATCGTCGGCTCATTCCTGGCCTGTCAACTAGTCGATAGAGCCGGCAGGAAGGTACGTAATATCCCGTTACAATTGAATATGCAATTTCGAAAAGGGCACATGTCGCATATTTTTGGCAATTGTGCTGCCAAGCCTCCTATACTCCTCCGAGTCGTGGTGTGTGTACCGCCGCCACATTCGCTTTCACCTTAAATGCCTTCGTGCCATCATAAAAATCAGATGGTCTGATAGAGTGCGAAATACCGAAGTCTTGCTGCGACGTGCCAATGTTGGTGGCATTGAAACCTATTTAATGCGTCGGCAGCTTCGATGGTGCGGTCATGTATCACGCATGACGGAGGAAAGAGTGGCGAAGCGCATCTTCTTCTCTGAATTGCAGGATGGCAAGCGAAAGCATGGCGGACAACTCTTGTGGTACAAGGATGTCGTGAAACGACACATGAAGAGATTTGATATAGAGCCCTCTCAATGGGAGCGCTTGGCAGCACAGCGGCCAGAATGGCGCAGGATGGTGAACAGCAAAGTACGCGAGTTCGAGGATCAGCGTAAAGCTGACCTTGATTACAAACGCGACCAGTTGAAGGCCCGCCCACCTGCTGCCATAACCTATAATTATGAGAACGGCGTGCTTACGTGCCCTCAATGCGCAAGGANCAATGGGAGCGCTTGGCAGCACAGCGGCCAGAATGGCGCAGGATGGTGAACAGCAAAGTACGCGAGTTCGAGGATCAGCGTAAAGCTGACCTTGATTACAAACGCGACCAGTTGAAGGCCCGCCCACCTGCTGCCATAACCTATAATTATGAGAACGGCGTGCTTACGTGCCCTCAATGCGCAAGGAGTTTTGCCGCAAAGATAGTCTATATAAGCCATCTTCGAGCGCACGAGCGCCAAATCGACGGATAGGAGTCAAAGTGTCGCCATGGCCGAAATCGGTCGGATGAATCATCATCATGTCGCATATTTTGTCAAATACGTTTTTTCATATACATGTAGCTTTGAGGCTTACCTAAACCTATTTTATAATAATTCCAGTAATTTTCAATTGCTAATTAACACTTAAATATATCTCATAAGTTAATATTTTAAATTTTACTCTGCTTTAGAAAATAATCAGTTTTTGTTCATTTCCTGAACATTTTACATTCTCAGAGATGTGCCCTTTTCGAAATTGCATATTCAATTATTTTATCGGTAATTTTAGATTTTAGTAATGGACCGTCTAGCGTGATCACCCGTGAACAAACTTCAGAAAAGTTGCGGTTTCATTCAATTTTACATATTGTTTGGTTGTTTGATTCGTCTGCTTCTGTGTTTGTACTAAACAGCCATGTGTATCTCTGTTGACAAGTAAACACCGCGGTATTTAAACAGTTGCCTGTTTCCATAACAAAATAAAATATTGCTACATAATCAAATAACTTTATATAGTGGTCTGGCAATTAATTAAAAAGATTCGATCGTGAAAAGTTCGTCAAATCCCGAGCTTCTTCTATTCATTACTTTTAAGTCGATAATTTTTTTTATTCTTTTTTTATTGCTTAGATGGGTGGACCAGCTCACAGCCCACCTGGTGTTAAGTGGTTACTGGAACCCATAGATATCTACAACGTAAATGCGCCACCCACCTTGAGATACAAGTTCTAAAATCTCAGTATAGTCACAACGGCTGTCCCACCCTTCAAACTGAAACGCATTACTGCTTCACGGCAGAAATAGGCAGGGCGATGGTACCTACCCGCGCGGACACACACGAGGTCCTACCACCAGTAATTACGCAAATAAAAATTTGCGGGTTTGATTTTTATTACACGATTTTATTCCTTCACCGTGGAAGTCAATCGAGAACATTAGTTGACTACGTATTTCATTAGAAAAATTGGTACCCGCCTGCGGGATTCGAACACCGGTGCATCGCGCTCAACACGAATGCACCGGACGTCTTATCCTTTAGGCCACGACGACTTAGACGTATCGTTATCGTTTGCAGCCTCTTCTAGCGGTCACAAGCGTGGTGGCTGGATTCAGCATGGCTCTGCTCGGAGTCTGGTTCTACCTCCAGGGCATCGGCGTGTTCATGCCTGGATGGGTGCCGATAGCGGCGCTCTGCATCTGCATATTCGCAGACGCATCGGGACTCCAACCGTTACCGTTCGTCATAATGACCGAGATGTTTAGTTTCCAGGTGAGATTTTTGTACACTTTAAAATTACTTAAACTCGGGTTGTTCCGGGGTTTTAATCGCTTCGGATATGCACACCTATAATATTGGCCTAACGCTTAGGCGGAATTCGAACGATTTCCTGACTCAAAAAAATAAAAGCATAAAACTTTGTAAACTGTTAACAGTGCAGCGTTTTTTTTTTTGTTTTGCTTAAATGGGTGGACGAGCTCACAGCCCACCTGGTGTTAAGTGGTTCCTGGAGCCCATAGACATCTACAACGGAAATGCGCCACCCACCTTGAGATATAAGTTCTAAGGTCTCAAGTATAGTTACAGCGGATGCCCCACCCTTCAAACCGAAACGCATTACTACTTCACGGCAGAAATAGGTAGAGTGGTGGTACCTACCCGTGCAGTCCGGGCTTTTTTACAATAATCTTTTTTTACACTATTTTTAATTCAAAATTTATTAAAATTTATTTTCTATTTTTTACTTGGATTTTCTATAAAAGCGTTATTTATTCGTAATAGTATAGGTAAATTTGATTTATAAATCACTCAGTCAATTTGTAATTATTATTTACAGCTCCGTGGTACAGTGGCGACTTTAGTTATGGCAATATCTCTGGCTACAGACTTCGCTCTACTCAGACTGTTCGCTCCATTGACCGAGCTGATTGGCTATCACTTCACATTCTGGATGTTCAGTTTAATATGTCTCTCGAACGTATTCTATCTAATCTTCTGTGTTCCGGAAACAAAAATGAGGAGCTTAGAGGACATTTACGCCGATTTAGAAGGAAAGAATAAGAGAAAAAAGAAATCTGACGAAGTGGTTGAAACAAACCACGTCTAATACTAAAAAGGATAAGTTCCGTTGGATAAATCATCGAAAGTGCAACTATGTTTCACATTTCACTAATATCGTAGTCAATAATCAATAATCTAGAACTAGAAAATGTTTAAAATATCACCGAAAATGTGGTTCACTTTATTTTCAGAGGCTACGATTTTTTCTAGAAATTTCTTTATGACTAGAAATTTTGTTTGACAGTTATTAAATGTTTTTATTGTTTATTGTGTGAAGGACGAATGATGGCAGTACGTACGGAGGGTAGAGGTAATATCACACACATAGTATAAAACAAAGTCGCTTTCTCTGTCCCTATATCCCTATATATGCATAAATCTTTAAAACTACACAACGGATTTTGATGAGGATTTTTTTAATAGATAGAATGATTGAAGAGGAAGTTTTATATGTATAATAACATCCATTAAATAGTGGAGAAATCAATAATAAATTACAGTTTCCGAAGCGAAGCGAGGGCGGGTCGCTAGTATATACTAATTGAGGTATAATAATTGTTATATAAACTCAAATGAATTTTTATTTTTTTAAGATGGCGTTACTGTAACATAAATACTGAAATTGAAACGAAATTTGTCAAATTTTGTTACAACTTTTTTTTTAGTAACAAATCCTATGCATTGAGAATATTATTTCTATATTATTTTATTATTACTTCGTTTACTTACCTACCTAATTAATTTAGTACACGCTTTCAACTTCAGATCTTAGATTGCGATTACCGCCATTTTGTCCACCGTTGTCCAATGATTTTTGGTGAAATCAAATATATTGCTTTAAGAAAAACTTACCTCCTCCTGAGCCTCTCAACCCGGTGTTACCACGAAGCATGATGCGTTGCCATATTAAAGCCAGTTATATACTTAGTGATAATAATTATGTGATATTATCATGTAAAATAGAACAAATTATATAGGTTAATTTAAAATTAAGTAGGAAATATATTTTAATAAGAAGTTACAATTGGATGTAGTTAAACGCGAAGAATTAATTTAAAATTGAGTTCTCTGCCGAAATCGACCGACAGAAAGTACCGAAAAATGACCAAGAAATATTTTATGTACTTACCCACAAGGAGCCCATTCAGTGATCGTCGGTAAATAAGATGTCCCTGCTCAGAATTTAATTGTTTTTAAATTTATTTATTCTAAACGTTCGAAGAATTGATAACTACAAATTTAAATAGTTAAATATATTTTATATATTTATAATTTACGCGTATCCGTTTTGAGTGAGTCCTTTCTGCCTAACCACGTCCAATTGAACTTAGACGACAGCAGTTTGAAATGTCGGTTGTCATTATTTCTTATTTCAACTTTATTATAAGACACGAATATGTACCCGTCGAGCGCATTTGCTATTTTATCTTGTTAAAATGCCTTGAAAAGGTAAAACCAAAACTCACAACAGCAAACATATTTAGTTTTTATGGACCTAAAGTTCATGAATGCTCTTGAAATTGTACATTTACCGCCATTATTTTTTTGTTATGTTATTAGTTTTGAAAAAACTGTAAATTAATGTGGTGCCATAATATTTGTCTAATTAATTTGAAATGTACAAATAAGCTTGAAGCTTTTCTATAATGCTATAGTAAAAAAATGTCTACGTAATAAACAAATGACACAATAAACTGATAAAATTCAATAAAATTTGTTTTATTTGCGAGTTTTTTTTATCGACAATGAAAGGCTTATCTGTTGGATAAAATGTTGACAAGTACAGGCTGTCCTAGAATGTGTATATCAAACCGACAAGTGGTTATTATAGTAAATAGTTCAACAATATATGAAAATATTGAAAAAAATCAAAATCGCAATTAATGGCTTTATACAAAAACTAATTTATATATTGTTTTAACTGTTCGATGACCGCACTGAATTTTGCAACAAAAATTCCGTTAAAAAGCTTGTTATTTTAAAGCAAAATTTGTTCATTCCAATACCTTTGAATGAACGAACTTTGAAGTCGTCGTGGCCTAAAGGATAAGACGTTCGTGCATTCGTATCTAGCGATGCACCGGTGTTCGAATCCCGCAGGCGGATACCAATTTTTCTAATGAAATACGTACTTAACAAGTGTTCACGTATGATTTCCACGGTGAAGGAAGAACGTCGTGTAATAAAAATCAAACCCGCAAAATTATAATTTGCGTAATTACTGGTGGTAGGACCTCTTGTGATTACGCACGGGTAGGTACCACCACCCCGCCTATTTCTGCCGTGAAGCAGTAATGCGTTTCGGTGTGAAGGGTGGGGTAGCCGTTGTAACTATACTGAGATCTAAGAACTTATATCTCAAGGCGGGTGGCGCATTTGTGTCGTAGATGTCTATAGGCTCCAGTAACCACTTAACACCAGGTGAGCTGTGAACTCGTCCACCCAACTACGTAATAAAAAAAAACTTGTTCTTGCAACATGTGTCACAGATCAAAACACGAGCAATCGATGTAACTCATTTTAACTGCCTTCAAAAAAGGATAAGATTCTCAGATTGACTCTTTGTGTTACTTCAGATTTTTTCTAAGTAAACCAATTTGACGATTTCATTATTTGACTCCTCGTGACTCCAATATTTGAATTTTATTAAAATATAACCAGTAGTTTTAGAGTTATCCTTAACAATGCATTTTTAATTTACTTCGAGCTTTATTGATCATATTCTCATTTTATTTTGTTGAAGTCACTTTTATTTTTTGCTGACACTTACTATTATTCACTGTGAATACTTTGTATACCAATATTATTTTTTATTATAGTTGTATTGAGACTTATGTATGGTATGTATATATTTTTGTGGATGTATTTGTAAATTTAATATAAATTCAATACACCTATCGTTATTACTCTTCACTACCTTTGGTTGACTGATTATTACATGAAGTGTGTAGAAATACGACAAAGGAAAGATCTTCCACCGAGCAGGTGATTTTGCTCGGTAGACCGACGGTCGGAATGTTTTTTTTTTCCTACCTAAGCTGATAGCCTTGAGAGGCTATTTCAGCGGAACCTTAACTAGCAGGTGAGCTCACGAGGCTCAAACCTGACGACGTTGCTAACACGAACCCTAGCAAGAGCAGTGCTTCGCAGAATCTACCACCGGATCGGAAACGCGACCCACTGAGAGGATCCGGCGAGAAACTCAGTGGGCTGTGTCTGAGGGTTAATTTACTCGTCGAGCCCTTCGTCGCAAGCGACGGGTTAACGTTAACGCATCCAAAAGTTAACATTATAATATTATAGTACATATAAATATTTTCGAGAAAATCTCAACAAGTACCCGTGTTTACTATAAAGGACGGTAGTTGGATCAAAAATAAAATAAAACCAAAATTTTGTAGAAGATTTACTTATTACAATAAATAACCAGCATAGTTTACAAAAGCATTTCTTTTTTTTTTGTATTATTTTATACATTTTTTTTTTTGTAAATGAAAACTAATTATAACCTTTCTTCTTAAAGAAAACACATTCAAAGACGCCCAACGTACAAACAAGTAAATTCACATTAATTAATACACAGACTAGTTTTAATAAACGAATTCAAATTAGAATAACAAGACAATTTCCTTAAAAGTTAATGATATTCGACGCTATAAACAGTACATGAGGAATATTATTATTATTTTAACCGACCACAACTCGACAAGGAGGAAGCTCTCAATCGTGTACTCATCCAGTTGCTTATTTGCGTGTATGTAAGAAAAGGTTTCTGTTTGACAAGCTTACAAAATTAAAAGCTCTCCGCTTCTCCATCATTTCATTCCATGAATTTAAAACATACTTAAGACGTGAGTATCGGGAAATATTTGATATACAGGGTGTCCGAAAGAATGGATAATCCTGAAACACCTCATAGTAGAGTTATTGGGGACACAAAAATAAAAAATAAAAATACATTTTTAAAAAAAATTCAAATAAATGACATCCATTTGGCTTTTTGGTGTTATAATATTCTACATGGACTACACTAAGGAATATGCAGGAAATCGTATGAGTAGCTAGTGTATTTTTTTATAAAAGTTAATCTGAACTTAAATTTTAATCATGAAATTTGGTATTTTTTCTTTATTTTTAATTTCAGGTACTACCTAAGAAATATTTTTCAATTTTTTATTTTGAGTCCCCAATAGTTCTACTATGAGGTGTTTCAGGGTTATCCACTCTTTCGTGGGACCTATCCTTCTACGTGGGACACCCCGTATATATATAACATATATATGTTTCTAAGTTTCTATATTTATTTTTTATATTCATTCAACGTCATTATTATGTATAACCCAAAACCGACAGTCATTACGAAAATGTGTGCAGACGACTCTGTGTTTATTGTTAATATCAATAATATTATCGTCACAGCCTATAGTTTCAAACATGATAACTTTAAGACCTTTGACAGATTAGAACACAATAAATTTAAAACATTCACATTGCTTGATTTTGTTAATTCACAATTCCCAAACTCCGGCCTCTCAACATTACAAAATTTAATTATATAATTTCAAAAAAATTAATCTGAAGAAATAAAAAATCATATACTATAATTTTTTCAGTTGTCATTTTTTTTTTTTATAATTTTCATTTATGTATTAAATTATAAGATTTTTTTCAGAACATTGTCAGCTTTGTTTGTAAATATTATACATAAAGGAGTAATATTCGTGAATTGATCACTGATAAAACCTGCAAATGGTTCTTCTTCAGTCTGCGCCTACCAAAGACGCAGAAAAAAAAACAACATGATAAAAATTCACTACGCAAATTTAACACTATATATTTTCGACTATAGACCGTATTATATATACACATTAAGTCTATATTCGCTTTAGACACGTGAAGATCGATACATCACAATAAACGTACGCGACGAATTGTACAAATTTTTCGTAGTTATTTATATATTATATACAAAAGCTGATGTCTGTATGTATGTATAGACAGCGAAAAGACATCCGATTTGTATTTAAATGTCCCAGGAAATATAAATTGAAGTTTAGTAACGATGAGAACGAAGTCAAATCAATCAGCGAGACGGACCGCATTTAATTACAACCATCTATATGTATAGTTTTTGAACTTGAAATTCAATTTTATAAACTTCAAATTCAATTTTGTAAATCACTACATAGTATAAAACAAAGTCGCTTTCTCTGTCACTATATCCCTATGTATGCTTAAATCTTTAAAACTACGCAACGGATTTTGATGCGGTTTTTTTTAATAGATAAGAGTGATTGAAGAGGAAGGTTTCTATGTATAATAACATCCATTAAATAGTAGAGAAGTCAATAATAAATTACAGTTTCCGAAGCGAAGCGAGGGCGGGTCGCTAGTATTATATAAAGGTCTCCTTTTTTACAGTAGGTACGACTGCTGCCTTACGGTTCAAACCAAAACGCATTACTGCTTCACGCCAGTCATTACTATACAAAGACGCGTCTTCATCTACCACAAGTTAAAAATGTAATAAACATTTAACACAATTGAAGACTGTTATTAAAAATTTCGAGTTTTTACTTTGAATGAAGGTGGTGTTATGTGCCTATAAAACAGCGGTCGGGGAACTTTTTTAATTATTACCCCAATATATTTTTGTGTAATTTGATATTACCCCATGGCGAAGAATAAAAAAAACGAAATCGCTTCTTTTAAGCATCTTTCATATTATAGCCGCCATGATAATTTTGAAAAAAAAAAATTATTTTGTTTCATCGAGTTTGAAATCACAACGATTCTAAAGAAGTTTCACTTCAATATATACTTTTAACTTACAAAAGTTTCATTTTTACCCCCCATAATTTCATTTTACCCCGTTTGGGGTAATTTACTTCGGTTCCCCGACCGCTGCTATAAAACATAATATTAGACCTTAAAATCCGGAAGTTTTAAAATTTTTAGAAATTGCAGGTGATGAAGGAGTTATGTATGAAGAAAAAGTACAATCAACAAAAGCTTGTTGCCCGTTTTCTCAAAATTAACAAATTGTATCATATCCCCTTCATCCACTCATGTCTTCAATTATACATATGATTTTTCAGACATGTAAATAGACTGAAATCACTTTTACAATTCACCCAGAATCCTAACACAGCCAAATCAGTTGAAAAAAAACATTACGAGAATTCTTCGTATATCTATCTATTTATTATATAAATACGTTACATTAGAGAATAATTTACATCACACTTGTGTGTGTGTACATTGCGCCATTAGTATCGATGCTGTGTGGTATTTATTTGCGAAACTCGGCAATCGATTTTACCCAGTTGTGTGTACACAAAAAAAAATAAAAAAAAGTGGGAATCAAACAAACAAGTCAAGGAAGCAAGGGCAACCGAAAGGTATGCTAGTGAAAATGTCATTGGCAGTGTCGAAGGATGTAAACAGACTGTTCCTAAAGCCAAAAAGGAAATGATCTGCAATTATTTTGTCCTTGAATTTCGTTTGCTTGAACAAAAAAATAAATACAGGACAGCTTCACGGAACAAACGAACCGAATGCAGATACAATTTAGGCAGTTTAGATAACTTTACATTTTGCATCTGATTCCACCGATCATGTATTTGGATTTATTAAAAAAAAACGATGGAAGATTTAAATTTACTAGACTATATACTAAAAACGGTCTGTGTTATTTGTCTGTATGTTGTTTGGACCGGTATGTGGATCCCAAACTTGGAAGATCACGGTAAAGCTGGAAAATAACCCAGAATTTCTGTCAGAGAGAAATCTAATGAGAAGCATTTTAAATATTGAAGACTACAAGATAAAATCTTATTCGTATAAAACAAAGGACCCAAAATTACTACAGTACATACGCAGTTAAATTACCAAATGTAAATGTGGTCAGAGGTGAGATAATAGAATGATCATAAGACATCACTGTGCGGTGCTCTCATGAATGAAGGGACCACAGAAATCTGGACGGAAAGTGGAATTTAAGAAAACAGCTAGACCGCTGTGGGAAGAGTAAAGTGGCAAATTCCAATTTTATTAACAGACCCAAAAGGCTTTTTGGAAAGAACCGACAACACCGGCAGGTGAAATAACTCGGCATGACCAAGATCCACATTCATGTTCAGAGCCTGTGTGTGAGCGAACTCATCTCGCAAATGTCGTTAGCGGGATTCATGCGTTTATCAAATATGTATCTTTTGCTCTACGAAAATTATTAACACGACTATTCGAATCCGAATATTGTTTAGAAAATTAATGAAATATTTATTACCTAAGAACATCCGTGACATTGCATTACTTTGGCATATTCATAGTTAATTATTATCTTCTTTTTTTTCTAGTTTCCCTGTTACCCTCTGCTGAGATGTAGAGCTCGAATCAAATTCTTCCATTTGCATCGATCTTGGGCAGTCTGTTCCAGATCCTTCCACGTCACGCCCAAAACGTCCAGCTCCTGCTCTACTGAGCGACGTCAAGTTGTTCTGGAAAGGCTTCTCTTTATTTTATATTATATTTGCCAGATACTTTCCAGGTCAGTACTCTCTTGGATGGGTGAGTGAACTTAAAGTGTGACCAATCCAATGGCACTTCTGCATAAGGATCTCTGGTGTTTGCTTGGTGATCCTCCACAGCTCATTGTTACTGATCGTTTCAGGCCAAAAGATTTTCAAAAATCATTGGATAATACGTTAATTAACTAACCTCATTCTCGCAACTCGGTGTGAGATAAACAAGTTTTTTTTTTCGTTTTTCAAAAGACAACACAGATTAACCGACTAATATGTACACAGAGGAGACAATCTGCCTAGTTTAGTTTGCGAACACAACACAAGCGATCAGTTCTGTGAGCGCGGCGCCGGTCAGGCCTCGGGCGGTTGTTCCGTCTCGTTCTCTCGGCTGTCCTTCTCTTTCTCTTCCTTGGCGTCCGAAGGTCTAGAGTCCGTTGAGATGGAGCTGGACGTAAGGCTGTCGGGCTGCGAGGACTCCTTGCTGCCGGACTCTTGCGAACTCCGGGCCTCCGATGATTTCTCTTTATCTAAACAAAACAAAGCGTTTAATGCGTGTGACGCAGACTACACTGTATCGTACGGCGCGACATAGATTACACAAAATTACGAAGGTAATTAATTAATTTCTAAAATACTACCAATTAAATTAATAACAATTGGCTGTTGATAATTAATTTAAATTACTAAGTGCCAACTTTTACAAAATATTATCTACCCTCTTTCTCATAACCTCTATATTATACAACCACTTTAGAGGGCTTTCTACTTTGTAAACTTTTGTTGAATTAACATATTCATATATTAAAAATATCTACAAATTTCGATTATATAAATCATTTTCTAAATATCAAAACTTAATTAGAATACTAATCATCAAACTAAAGAACCAATCACAACATTAATTAAAAGTTTACTAACAACCATTTGTGAACTTAGGACGTAACATTAAAAACTGTCTTCTTATTATTGAATCAGAATACCATCTTTGCAGTCTATTCTTCTAATTTTGTACGTTTTTATATTATGTTCTTATTCGAGGCGTGATCTTATCCACTCCTGGAGCGATAGCTTGGCCCATAGGAGTTCTATATGAAATTAATGAAATACTTTTAATGTTTCACTGTGTGACAACCCTACAAGTCTATAGAACAGCACAGAACTCTGAATAATTTACAGGCCACTGAGTTTCTCGCCGGATCTTCTCAGTGGGTCGCGTTTCCGATCCGATGGTAGATTCTGCGAAGCACTGCTCTTGCTAGGGCCAGTGTTAGCAACACCTCCGGTTTGAGCCCCGGAGACCACATACACGCTAGGGTAACGCTGATATAGCCTCTCAGGGCTATCAGCATAGGCAAGGAAAAAAATCTTTAGACTGTTGATAATTCCTTGGGATGTTCAATGCATATACATATACACATATATATATTAGGACGATTTCAATACAAAAGTTAACTCTGTTCTTGTTTTTTTAAGGTTTTTTGGTACTAGGATACTCTAGCTGGGTGGTTGAGGTAAAGGGGCCGCGGGGATCGGGGCGGGGGGTTGGGGGGAGCGGGGGCCACTCACCGGCTCCGTGCGTCGCGGGCCAGGGCTTCCTCACGAACATATTCTCGACGATACGATCTATGTTGTCTTTCTCGGTTGAATTCGCAGCTCTGAAATAACAATAATTATGTATTTAGCAACTGCAAATTATTTGTTTCTTTTCAAATTAAAATACTTAAAGAGGTGAACGAGCTGTGCGAAGTGGGTACCGGAGCCCATAGACATCAACAAAGCACATGTCATCACTCACCTTGAGACATGAGTTCGAAATTTTATAGTACAACAGTTCTTAAAGGTACATTTTTTATTTAACCTTACACGACGCCGGGTTCTTCCCTTTGTGTTTGTTAGACCCGATTTTTTATTTATTTATTGCATAGATGGGCGAACGAGCTCATGCTCACTTAGTGTTAAGTGGTTATCGGAGCCCATAGCAATCTACAACGTAAATCAGTTTGAACAATACAACGGCTACCCCACCCTTCAAGCCGAAACGGATTACTGCTTCACGACAGAAATAGGCGGATTGGTGTTACCTACCCGTGCGGACTCACAAGAGGTCTTACAACTAGTAATTACGCAAATTATAATTTTGCGGGTTTGATTTTTATTACACGATGTCATTCCTTCACCGTCGAAGCCAATCGTGAACATTTGTTAGGGACGTATTTCATTAGCAAAAATTGGTACACGCCGGCGGAATTCGAACACCGTTGCATCGCTACATACGAATCCACCGGATTTTTTACTGGTGGTAGGACCTCTTGTGAGTCCGCACGGGTAGGTACCACCGCCCCGCCTACTTCTGCCGTCAAGCAGTAATGCGTTTCGGTTTGAAGGGTGGGACAGCCTTTGTAACTAACTATACTGAGACCTTAGAATTTATATCTCAAGGTGGGTGGCGCATTTACGTCGTAGATGTCTATGGGCTCCAGGAACCACTTAACACCATGTGGGCTGTGAGCTCGTCCATCCATATAAGCAATAAAACCTTTAGGCCGCGACGACTTACCTTTCTGAGGCGTGCGGCTTGACGATGGGTATGGCCGCCGTAGGGCGCCGCTGGGCGCGCGGCTGTTGGTCCTGCTCCGCGCAGTTGTAATACGTCACCCCACCGGTTTGGGTCGCCTGTCCAACAAACGGGACCTCAATGAAGTTAGCTTACGTACTCGACCAATACAGTAAAGTTATATATCGATGAAAGAAAATGAAAATGTCGTAACTTGGAGAAAAAACAACAACTTTATTATACCTAAAGCCACAAATTTGCGTATTTATATTTATATCATGAGATACAGTTTGCGTCGTCTGTCCAACAAACGGGACCTCAATAAAGTTAGCCTACGTACTTCACCAATACAGTAGAAGTTATATATCGTTGTATATCGATGAATGAAAGCGAAAATAACTTGAAAAAATCAACTTTATTATACCTAAAAACCACAAATCTATGTATTTATTAATATGCTTTTATTACCTTCAGACGTATGTATGTTAGTAAGTAATGGAATCTTTGAGCATGATTTTGACCCCCTTCAAAACGTCGGATTAACTCGAAATTTAGTATACATACTTATTAAAAAATGAAAAATAAATAATAGTTTAAAAAAACTAACAAAATACGCTTTTATAGAAAATCCAACTAAAAATAGAAAATAAATTTTAATAAATTTGAATTAAAAATAGCGTAAGAAAAAATTATTGAATTGTAAAAAAAAGCGTGGGATACATGGTATCAGTAGTTATAAATATTTTATGAACAGATATGAGTAGAAGGGTTATTTTGATAATATTTTAAGACATGACTTAAAGGTCTAGGTTGCCAGGTCATAAAATCCCTTAAAAAAGTCAAGTCTGACGGGACAAGAGCTAGTTGTGCACACGTACGTAGTTGTGGTGCGGGTAGAGCGGGTAGGGGGGCGCCGCGCCCTGCGGGAACAGCCCGCCGCCGAACACGGGCGCCGCGCCGCTCTGCTGCAAGCAACCACCACGCCGCGTCACGACACGTGCATACGTCTCATACACGTGTAGATAGATATCCTGCTATCTTACCGGTGGTAGGACCTCTTGTGAGTCCGCACGGGTAGGTACCACCGCCCCGCTTACTTCTGCCGTGAAGCAGTAACGCGTTTCGGTTCGAAGGGCGGGGCAGCCGTTGTAACTATACTGCGACGTGCGACGAACTTATATATCTGGGTGGGTGTCGCATTTACGTTGTAGATGTCTATGGGCCCCAGTAACCACTAAACACCAGATAGGCTGTGAAGTCGTCCACCCATCTAAGCAATAAAAAAAATAAAAAAATTGCCTTCTCACGGTAAAAGTGGGGGGCGGGGTAGGAGTCGGTCCCCGCAATTACAGCAGCATCACATTTATCGCAAGAATAAATTGCGTAATTACTGACGGTAGGTCGTATGGATAGTCCAGAAGGGAAGGTAACACCCAACCGTCCCCCGCTGCCGCAGAGCAGGGACCGCTACATTGATCTGTGACTGCACCAGTAGCCGACGTGAGAATATTGGGGGATAACTCCTTTAATATACATATATGATTACCTGCATGTACTGCGCGGGCATCATGGCGGGGGGCGCGTATCCCTGGGCGGGTGGTAATTGATCTGTTCGACAAACAAACAAAAAAAAAATTTCACAATGCATCGTTATTAAATAACATGGACGAGCTCGCGATCCATCTGGCGTTAAGAGGTAAACTGATCCCGTAGGTGGCGAACACAAAGTTTCAATCGAGAAACTCACAGAACATTTTCTGTCACATTACGTGATACAGATATACTAATAATATAAAAACCCGAGGAGGGGGGCGTTCTATAAAGATTTGAAGGGACTGTGTAACCCTTATATCGCATTACCTTCATACAAGAGGGAGGGGTGCGAATCAACAGATCGCGTATGATAGATAGGGTTTAAAATAAATACATAACTTACTTATCGTATGAGGCTGCGGCTGTATGTTGTGTATAGGATGGTGGGGATGTGACACGACTTGTTGCGGCTGATCAATGATCCCCAGTCTGACCTGGCAACACAGGCATTGTTTACTGGCAACACAGACATTCAATTATTTATGTTTGCTTATTTTCCTGTGGAAAATTTTCCATGAGGTATCTCTAATTTAACTAAAAAAAAAAATTCCCATCGACAACAAACACAGTTAGTTCATTCATTGACCTTGTGAAAAAGTTGTTGAATTCTACAAAGTCCATCGTGGTAGTAAACGGTCTATCCCCAATAATCAAAAGGGGGGATTAGAATTTAAGGAGAAGATGCCCCTACCAATACGAATGACGGGACAGCCGTGCTAGTTAGATGTCTGAATTACATTAACATACTTTCTAAAAAAGCCGAACCATTACCTTTTTTTTCCTACCTATGCTGATAGCCTTGAGAGGCTATTTCAGCTTGGCCCTAACATGTAGGTGAGCTTACGGGGCTCAAACCGGAGTGTTGCTAACACTGGCCCTAGCAAGAGCAGTGCTTCGCAGAATCTACCACCGGATCGGCAATGCGACCCACTGAGAAGATCCGACGAGAAACTCGTGGGCTGTGTCTGAGGGTTAATTCGCTCGTCGAGCCCAATCCTGTAGACCGAATGATAAATAGTCGACGTCGCGCAAAGCACGTCATTACGGATTTTCCCCATCCACTAACGGTGCTTTTAGGTTCCTCAAGCACCGGTCATCGAACCCGTCGCTTGCGACGAAGGGCTCGACGAGTAAATTAGCCCAGACACAGCCCACTGATCTAATCATACAACACGTGTGACTGTTGCCTAACCTGTTGTTGTTGTTGTTGTGGCAGAGCCTGGAGAGGCGGCGGCGTGTGTCCGGGGGCCGGCGCGTTCGGGGTGCACCGCACCTGAGCGACAATCAATTTTTTATTTTTTATTATTTATTTTTTTATCAAGACAATAAAGCTCCTGAATGATTCATTGGACTTTTTGGCGGGAACGCGAGGAGTGAAGTTGTGTGATTTGTTTTATTTTGTCTATTTAGTATTATCTTATGTTATTTCATTTAATTTCATGTCAGTTGATTCATTTGAGCTTCCTTCGTTTTTTTATTATTCATACGTTATTTGGGCTTCCTTCGATTTTTTATTATTCATACAAACTGTGAATAATTAAAACGGCGAATTGTAAAAATCTTATTAATTGACACTGGCTAATGCACAAACCGTGCCGGAGCCAACAAAATAAAGAAGAAGAATGATTCATCGAGGTCCTTGAGGCACGTACCTGGTGCGCGAGGTGCGGCGCGTGCGGCGCGGGCGCGGCCGGGCCGGCGGTGAACTCGCTTTGGCCTGACAATAAATTATCGATTAGTGCGTGTTTGTCTAATGTCTGCTATTTTTTTTTTTTTATTGCTCAGATGGTAGAACGAGCTCACAGCCCACCTGGTGTTGTGGTTACCGGAGCCCATAGACATCTATAACGTAGATGTCGCCACCCACCTTGAAACATAAGTTCTAAGGTCTCAAGTATAGTTACAACAGCTGTCGCACCTTTCAAGCCGAAACGCATTACAACTTCACGGCAGAAATAGGCAGGGTGGTGGTACCTACCCGCGCGGACTCACAAGTGGTCCCACCACCAGTAATAATGGCGCAATGGAGTGAGCAGCGAGATGAGAGAGCATTGGTTCGGCCTACGCACCGGCATATCTGTGCGGCTGCTGGGTCTGCGCTGCCCCCGGGCTTGAGGTCTGAGCGGGGGTCTGCGGCTGTGTCTGCGGCTGCGGTTGAGGCGTGTAGGGCTCCGCCAGGGGGCGCTGCCTCAAGCTGCTGTAGCGCTTGCTGCCGCCGCGGGGCTCGGCACCTGTTCCAACAGTTCAGAAATATAATGGCACATTCACTGTTCTTCTACTCATTCTAGGCGGTATTAATGAAGCTGTACTATCAACTGAAACTAGTTTTCCCCGCAGTAGTCGAAATTCGACTATAATTAATTGAATATGCAATTGCGAAAAGGGCACATCTCTGAAAATGTAAAATGTTCAGGAAATGAAAAAAACTGATTACTTTCTAAAGCAGTGTAAAATTTAAAATATTAACTTTTGAGATATATATTTTAGTGTTAATTAGCAATTGAAAATTACTGGAATTATTATAAAATGGGTGTAGGTAAACCTCAAAGCTACATGTATATGAAAAAACGTATTTGACAAAATATGCGACATGTGCCCTTTTCGAAATTGCATGTTCAATTGACATTATAAGTTTGAACATTATTATGGTTATATTGTCAAAGACTATATTTTATTACACTTCTATAATTACAGGTTTCGCCAAAACTACACTATAGACAAATAATATTAAAGATGAACAATATTGACTTATTCTCGATTTGACCACAGAGTTTAAGCAATAACAAAAGTTTGACAATCAACAAAGAGTTTATATATTATGCGTGTGTGTTAAATACATGATAGTGTGTGTTCTTCTTCTTCTTCTTCTTCTCAGTCGTGTCACTCTTGACAGAGTGGTCGTGATCGTCATGTAGTGTTGGAAGGGGTGTGTAATGTTTTTTTATTCATTTAATGTATTATGAATGCATAATTTTTTGATAATATTATCATTCCGCGCTCCTTCTCTATATTCTCTATAAGTGTGAGAAATTTCAAACTCCTTCGTCCGCGCAATTTTCGTAGAAAGGGGTACAAAGTTTTTGCTTCACGTATTAATCAATTTAAATACTAGCTCACTGGCATTCAATTCCCTCCGAGCTTAGAGATAAACAGATAAAATAAAAAATATTTTATTCCGCAAGAAAATTTGCAATAATAAAAAATAATTGAAGACATGTGTGGATGAAGGGGATATGACACAATTTGTTAATTTTGAGAAAACGGCAACAAGCTTTTGTTGCTTGCACTTTTTCTTCGCACGAAACTCCTTCGTCACTTGCAATTTCTAAAAATAGTCTATAAAACTCCGAGTTTTTAAGGTCTAATATGGCTTATAGGCACATAACACCTTTATTCAATTTAAAAACTCAAATATCTTAAAAATGTTACTTGATCTCTTCATCCACTCTTGTCTTCAATATTTAAATGTTATATGTTACTTATGACGACGGTTGCAGCTGAAAGTAAGTATTGTAGTTTTTGACGAAGCATGTCGCTGATAACTCTATTTCTGCAATCTGACGAAGCGTGTTGCGGATAATAACATGTACTTTTAGGTTAGGAATATTATCTTCTTTTTTTTTATAATAAATTTAAATGTTTAGTGTTCATAATTGATGTATTGTGGAAAATTGTTAAACATTTAAAAGCTTTACGTTTTGTTTCATAGTTACCAGTGGTCTGTTGCGGGTGAGGGTGAGACGTCTGGTTCTGTAGTTTCGTTTGGGAGCCTTGCAGGGGCGGCGACTTGTTGGGGGCTGGACTCGAGGGCTGCTGGTTCTGGGGAGAAGCGTTTTTTTATCGATAACTAGCTGACCCGGCAGACTTCTTAGTGCCTCAATCGATAAATAAAAGACCTAAACTTTTGTATAAAATAAACTTAAAACAAACAAAAGGACGAAAATCCGTCCGACGGAGGGACACATCAAAGGAAAAACAAAATTGTTATTTTTATTTAATTCCGAGTGTTTTCATATTTATCTACCTTTTAAACCTTCCCTGGACTTCCACAAATAATTTAAGACCAAAATTAGCCAAATCGGTCCAGCCGTTCTCGAGTTTTAGCGAGACTAACGAACTGCAATTCATTTTTATATATATAGATATATAAGATAAGATAAGATAAGAGATAAGATAAGATTAAATCGATCTATCGAACTCAAATCTGTATCGAATTCGAACAGCGCCCCTAGCGGCAAACGAAGCGATGCTTATGACAAAGATGACAATTATTGTACGGTATACCTGGCCGGGAAGCGGCTTCTTCTTGTTGATGTCCGTGGGCACTGGCCGCTGCTGCGCCACCATAGCGCTCACCTTCCGCTGCGACTGACCTTGGCTGAAAATTGTAAATCAAGCAACTGAATATATCATGCTTTATCAAGCAAGATCGAGGGACTACTGATTAATAATAGCCATTGCAGCAGGCACTTGGAAGAAAAAAATTGTACTGTTGTAATTGTTACACTTTCTTCAAACAGTTTTATTCTCCTACCGACACCGAAAGTTCGGTTTTCCACCCGCTGTACAGGGAAGAAAGTCTAACTTTTCCTCCCGCTGTACAGGGAAGAAAGTCTAACTTTTCCTCCCGCTGTACAGGGAAGAAACTGTAACTTTTCGTCCCTCTGTACAGGGAAGAAAGTGTAACTTTTCGTCCCTCTGTACAGGGAAGAAAGTGTAACTTTTCGTCCCTCTGTACAGAGAAGAAAGTGTAACTTTTCGTCCCTCTGTACAGGGAAGAAAGTGTAACTTTTCGTCCCTCTGTACAGGGAAGAAAATTTAACTTTTCGCCCTTCTGTACAGGGAAGAAAGTGTAACTTTTCGTCCCTCTGTACAGGGAAGAAAATTTAACTTTTTCTCCCTGGGTACTGACAAGTGCGCATGCGCGTTAGTGTCTACGTCTGCTCTCACGCACCAAAAATTCTCCGCCATTGTTGTGCTCGGGTAATTTGCAATATTGTGTTTAGTGTAAAAGTGAAATTAACAAAAGGCAATAAAATTTAATAGTGAAGTATTAAAGAAAGATGAGTTCATCAGACAGTTCTTATTTAACTAGTAGTAGTTTATTTAAAAATTAAAAAACAGTTAAATTGTTTTTTTTATGAGTATGTGCACCGCAGGAAAAAAGTAGGACATCTCATCTCGCGTGTTTGCCAGTATTATATTCTTATATCTACGACAATATCTGAGAATCTCAAAATTTTAAAATGATTAGTGATTACCGTGGCAACAGTACTAATAATGTTCGAATCCAACGCACCCAATACAAAACGAATCCTCACCTGTTATTGTTGCTATTGTTATTGTTCGCCGGGGCGGTGATTGTCAAAGTTTCGAGCGCCGGTAATTTCTTGTCCTGCGGCTTCAGGTTCTTCGGGGGCGTCGTCTTTGTGAACGGCGGCTTGGGCTTCGCGGTTTTGATGGAGGCGTTCCGGCGGAGCTGGGCGGCGCGCTCCGGGGACTCGCCCGCCGCCGGCTGCGACTTGGAGCGGGGCCGGGGGGCGCGAACCTTCCTCCTGTCACCCGAACCAATGCACAGCCATTAGGGTACCGACGCATTATGCGGCTAGTAGCACTACGAGGATAGCGCTAGTTTGCATTTTTTTTCCTACCTGATAGCCTTGAGAGGCTATGTCAGCTTCGCCCTAATGTGTGTAGGTGAGCTCACGGGGCTCAAACCGGAGTGTTGCTAACACTGGCCCTAGCAAGAGCAGTGCTTCGCAGAATCTACCACCGGATCGGAAACTCAGTGAGCTGTGTCTGTGGGTTAATTCGCTCATCGAGCCCCTCGTCGCAAGCGACGGGTTCGACGAGGACGGTGACCGGTGCTTGTGGTGCCTAAAAGCACCGTTAATGGATCAGGAGGATGTCGAGAAGTTACGTCCAGCGACTTTGTTTTATTTTCCCACATTTGTGCACATTCACAGATACTAAACAACTAATAAACCACCATTATTACACATTCAAACCCGAAGAAACACTAAATAGACAAAATAAAACAAATCACACAACTTCACTCCTCGCGTTCCCGCCAAAAAGTTTACCTATTATCTCTTCCCCACAAAGTGTTGCCATTTTATTTAAATGTCGCGCGTTACCACATAAAATGCGATAAAGGTGCATAGTTAATTAAAATATCATACCCTGGTTTCTTAGCGCTAGCTTCAAGTTCAGGGAAGTCCTCGGGGTTCGGTGGTTTTCTCAGCGGCAACGCGTTCTGTCTTCGGTACGCCTCCTCGTCTTCCCAGGTACGTGTGTACTTGTTGGGTCCACGACTGTTTGAGGGTAATAAAATATGATCAGTAATCATCGATATACGAATGTAATGTTTGGAGACATACAAAATTCTCCTGCGACACAAAGTTATTATTATTATTAATTGTTGCTTATATGGATGGACGAGCTCACAACCCACCTGGTGTTAAGTGGATACTGGAGCCCATAGACATCTACAACGTAAATGCGCCACTCACCTTGAGATATAAGTTCTAAGGTCTCACTATAGTTATAGTTAGTCTCTTAGTAATTTTTTTTCACAGATAACGGATGTAGTCACTCACAATGTATGAGAATTATCAAAATTTCAAACGTTACATTTTTGACATTCGAATATGTCATTTACTTCATAAATAAATGCGATAAATCACAAACGGTCATCTGACCTCAAATTAGTATTCCCTGTACCAAAGGAATTAGAAAATTTAGGCTATTTGGTTTAGGCGAAATTTTTGAAACTTTTCTAGAAGAGGCACTTAAAGTTTAAAATTTGGAAACGATATCATAACAAACAAAACTTCTTTAACTATTTGAATTAGCTTTAGCTATTTAATTGAAGTTCAATTAAAAACATCGGACTGTTGATGCTAATACCAAATAAAACGGACCTTTAATTACAAAGATAAATGTCGCTTAAATCAAATAGCAGTTCACCCCTAGATATATTATGTAATATCAAAAATCTTATATATCGACGCTTGAAGGGCAAACGTGACTAAGCGACAATAACTGTTTTGTACATAAATGATAGGCAATAACCATATTCGATGCGCAAAAAATATATATTTCTAGGTCTATTAAAATCATTTCAATCCTACAGCTACTAGCTAAATTCTACTACAGCTAGATTCGTTAAAATAGATTTTTTTCCAGGTATTTCAACTTTAAATTAGTCTACTGTAAAGTTCACGCATTGTCGCTTAGTCACGTTTGCCTTTCAAGCGTCGATATGTAGTATAATTATCTAATTCGGAAATCTTTAACTAAAACAACGATTTAACAATATGTGTGCTTAGTGCGAATTTTTTTACTTCTCGATCGCGTAAAAGTTAACTCGAATTTGTATGGAGTTGGTACAGCGCCCCTAGCGGCAAATGAAGGAAAACTCGCACTAAGCACACTGCGATACAGACATGTCTAATTGAAAACAAAATATATGAGGCCTATAAAATCAAAGGCAGCTATATCCAAGTCTGTCAAATATTCAGGTAAACTACAAAAATCTGCCCTAAACACGTCATTACGGATCCTCCCGATGCATCGAAGTACTGCTCTTGCTAGGGCCAGTGTTAGCAACACTGCCGGTTTGAGAAGCTGAAATAACTGTTCGGATAGCTACGATATTATTTATTTTAAAGCAGATTTATAAAGAATGAGAATATTACTAATAATCTGAATTTTAAATGATAATACTTCGTTTATTAGTACTTAATAAAGAGTAAAATTAACTTTTTTGAACTGAATTTGTTGAAGATTTAGCTGCATTTGTTATAACATGAAAACACTAAAGCATGTTCAACTAACTAAACAAGATAGAGCCATTGTTAATACATTTTACGACATTATGGCGTTTAGCTGCTTTTGATTTTATAGGCCTCATATGTAAGTGAAAAAAAATTCCAAAAAATGTTAATTATAAACAGTTTTCTATACACAATTAGTTTTAGATTAACTAGAGATTTAATTTTAAATTATTTAAACATACACAAGCTAAGAATAATTAAAGCGTGTGCATAATTAACTATTTTAATTGTAGTGAAAGATAAATAATAAAAACTTCTATTTTCTAAACTAAACTACATCTAAGGCAGTCAAACAAAATGTGACGTGCATCGCTTTGTTTTATGATGTCGCAAAGACGGTTGAACAAGCTGACGGCCCGTTTGAGGTTAAGCGGTGAACGAGCTCATAGACACCACAAGGCGAATATCGCTTCGAAACATAAGCGGGACCGCATTACTGCTTCGCGACAGAAACAAAAGGCCTCACAGCCGACTACAAATATAAATGAATTGCTGTTCGTTAGTTTCGCTAAAACTCGAGAACGGCTGGACCGATTTGGCTAATTTTAGTCTTGAATTATTTGTGGAAGTCCAGAGAAGGTTTAAAATAGAGGTATATATATATGTAATAGAGGTATATATATATGTAAGGTATATATATATGTATATGTAAAATAAAGGTAGATAAATATGAAAACACTCTGAATTAAATAAAAATAACAACGTCGGACGGATTCCTTTTGTTTGTTTTAAGTTTATTTTATACAAAACTTTAGGTATTTTATTTATCGATTGAGGCACTACGAAGTCTGCCGAGTCAGCTAGTACAAGTTATATTTAAAGATCCATCAAAAATATTTACGAATCATCATCTATATTTACTAATATACTGACTGCCAAGAAATGTATTTACAGTCTATGTTATGTTTGTCCGAAAATAATTTATTTAGGTTCAGAAGTTGTAATAGAAGTAATTAAAAGTGCAGACCGAAACCGCGTCACAAACCTAGTAGTCTCTATAATTATTTTGAATGACTAGTTAAACTCCGATACTCTATAATCTCATAAAACAACCATACAGATAGAGATAGAGATGGAGAGAAAGAGATATATAATATTTTACATACCTCAATTTAAAATGCTTTTCTATAGACAAAATCATTAAATCCTAAACGACATTTTTGATATAAAACTTAACAGAATAAGAACAGTAATTTTTAATGAATTCAATATAAAATATAAAAGCAATTTTATTATTTAAAAATGTGTTTTTTCTACGCATGCAAAAACCTCAGCTTCACTAACCGCCAATGTCGAAACCTCCAATTAGTCGAGATGAAATGGAATTGTAATGAGAAATCTTACTAAATATTTTTTTTTATTATCTTAAAATTAATAAACCTGCAGTAGTATTCTAGAGAAACAAAATTATTTTTATTACAAATATTTTTTTATTTATATTTCCCTTGTTTAGTTCCTTGTCCGTGATTGTATTTTCACAGAAATAATTAATCCGTACTAGATTATTATATGTATGTAAAGAAAAACTTTTATCATATAAAACCTTTAAAACTCTTTAATTAAAAAAAAAAGATTGTCTGTCATTTGGTTAAGTCCTTTATTGTTATATTCAGTATATCGTTATATTATAACTTTTTCTCAAAATTTCCATCAGAATCGATTATCGTTTTGCAAACGAGATCCCCATTATTTGGATACAATGCCAAACTAATATATTATTATCTAATATATAAAATTCTCGTGTCACAATGTTCGTTCCCATACTCCTCCGAAACCGCTTGACCGATTCTCATGAAATTTTTTATGCATATTCAGTAAGCCTCAGAATCGGCTACTATCTATTTTTCATACCCCTAAGTGATTAATAAATCTGAAGTTATAAAATCTGAACAACACGGTTTTCAAAAAGGCAAATCTACTACACTAGCAGCTTTTAAACTCATTAGTAAAATTACTGAAAATGTAGACAGAAAAATACCCACGGTTGGAGTTTTCTTTGACATGACCAAAGCCTTTGACTTTGTTGACCATAACATTCTTCTACGGAAGTGTAATAATTATNAATTTTTAAATGATAAGTGTTGTACATAATAAAATATTAGAATAAGAAGTGATAGAATGTAAAAATAGATAGATTTAGTAAATTTTGTGTTATAATTAATATAAAAATAAATTAAATTTTCGCATGCCTAAACAGGCGAAATATATGAAGCTATGTCCTATATCTTATAAACTATATTTCTGGCGAATAAAGATTTTCTTTCTTTCTTCTTTCTTAGGGTTGTCCACCCCTAACATATTTTTTTTATTTGGACATTTTTTTTGTTGTAATGAGGTATTATGTGGTTGAATGAGGTTTTGTTATTTTCATTATATATTCCCTCATCGTTCACAGCACTACATACCTCTTTCACTCATTTACCACATCCTTACACACTTACAATAAGTTAGTTTTTTTTTCTACACTAGAAATTCCTTAGAAATCTTATATATGGCAAAACAATGTTTGCTGGGTCAGCTAGTATATATATATATATATAATATTAACATTAACATTGTTTTTAATTTGAGTATATAAATTTAATATTATCCAAAACTGGTTTCGTAGATACTGATATGCACTATTTCTAAGTATTATTTAACAACGACAACATTGTGCCATTTAAATGTGTTTTACCACAATTTTTTATTATAAAAAATAACCACAAAATCTGATTCCGATAAAGAAACTAAATAATTAAACTGTTTCATGTTAAATTGTAACTTTGATTAATATTCCGGTGACTTTATTTTGACGGTAATTTTATATTGTTACTATATTGAATAATCCCGTTCCAGTCACTTCATCCGATGCAAGTTTTCAAAAAACTTTTGTTACAACTTTCTCATTGTTAACTATATATATTAATTGTCTATGACTATAGCTGAACCATTTCTGCGTGTTCTTTTTGATAATTAAAACCGAATGATATGCAAAACGAGTTAGCAGACAATTTATAATGATATACTGGATGTTAAGAGACCACTGCCGAAAACGAAGACAGACAGATAGTACTAATGACACCTTTGACGATGGAGTTATTTAGACAAATGTTGTAAATAAATATTTGAGCGATCGCGCGAGTCTGCACCGCGTCCGGGAGTTCGTTGACTCGAGCATCAGCTGTTTTTGATATTGTGTTTCATTGCTGGTTTTTTTGTAGTGTATTTTTTTATGAAACTATCGTTTCATCTAGCTGTACTAACATGATGGAGCGTAAATAATGCTAATAAAAGGTTTTAAAAACATGTTTTTTTTTAAAAATCAGTATCGATTTTTTTTTCCGTCCCATCATCAAAGGTGTCATTAGTACTATCGTCTGTCTTCGTTTTCGGAAGCGGTTTCCTAACACCCAGTATATGTATTACTTATATAAATATATGTAAATTTCTTACCCATATCTTCTGTTGCGTCTCGCGTGAGGAGGGGCATCTTCGTTGCGTATGTCGTACCCGTAAATCGCTACCAGCTCGTCACGTGATTTCGGCATCTGAACGCAAAAAAAAAACCTAATTTTTCCACCACAAAAAGACAAGTTTATCCAACGTAACAAGCATTTAAAGGGACTACCCGTAATTCTAATAAAAATGAGATAGGCGACTAGCCACAGGAAATAGGCTTTAAAGTTTTGTTACGTTGTGTAGCGACATCTGTCGAGCACAATGGGAACTACTTGACAGTAGTTTGAAGGAATCTTCGTTTTTTTTTACCTACCTATGCTGATAGCCTTGAGAGGCTATTTCAGCTTCGCCCTAACGTGTGTAGGTGAGATCACGGGGCTCAAACCGGAGTGCTGCTAACACTGGCCCTAGCAAGAGCAGTGCTTCGCAGAATCTACCACCGGATCGGAAACGCGACCTACTGAGAAGATCCGGCGAGAAACTCAGTGGGCTGTGTCTATGGGTGAAATCTTCAAAGGACGCTCCGTGAACCAAAATAACTAGCTTGATATGTTTCTCAGTGCAGTGCTTTAACACTAAACATACCATAACGGGTCAAATGACCCATTTTAAACTTTTGCATTGAAAATACACGTATCATCTTATTGCTGTTGCTCATTTGACTTCATGACTTTTCTTACCAATTAATCAACATTTATTGTCCTTATTCGTTTTTGTTTTGTTTATTTTTTATTTTTTATTGCTTAGATAGGGGGGCGAGCTCACAGCCCACCTAGTGTTAAGTAGTTACCGGAGCCCGTAGACATCCACAACGCAAATGCGCCACCTTAAGATATAAGTTATGAGGTCTCAAGTATAGTTAGTTACAACGGCTGCCCCGCCCTTCAAACCGAAACGCATTACTGCTTCACGGCAGAAATAGGCGGGATGGTGGTTTTAAGTAATACTTGTCGTATACCATTATCTACCCGCTATGGTATAAATAGGTGCCAGAAGTGTTGGTATGATTAATGTTAAATCACAACAATCATTGTTAATGCTCCTATGCCTTCACGAGCAGAAAAACAATTGTACCTGTTCATTCTCGTTGTATTTATCATGTGTCCATTTATTGACAATGTCAGATTTTCGCGGAGGGCGGCGTCGTTCGGTCGTCGTCTCGGAGCCCTCCTTTTTCTCTGAAGCCGTTTCGGATGTCGTGTTGACAGATTCCTCGCCGCTGGTGAACAAACACTATCATAATTCAAGTTCAGCTCTATATAGATACGGACTGGACTACCGTCGCGCATCGTATGAGCTACGTATGGGATTATATTTGAAATACGAAGTATATCCTACTACTCTTTTGAGGAGTATCTAAGTGGCGCTTAAGAGTATCGTGCCGCGAACTGCCTTACCTCCAGACTGACTCTAGAGAACAACTAGAGAGACGGTTGAGGATCACTTAAACGTATGAAGCGGACAGTTTGTTGGTAGATTCACATTTAATTATATCGACAGAAGAAAGGTGAATTGTTTTAACTTGTAAAACCTATCTGATTACATTATTATAAATTCCTCGACTTGATTAAGAGTTCGACGAACGAACTAATCCATAGGCACAGCCCACTGAGTTTATCGCTGGATTCTCTCAGTGGGTCGCGTTTCCGATCCAGTGGTAGATTCTGCTCTTGCTAGGGCTAATGTTAGCAATTTCTCTCAGGTTGAGCCCGTGAGCTGACCTACCGGTCCGGGCGTAGCTGAAATAGCTTCTTAGGCTACCAGAGAATAGGTAGGGAGTTTTTAAATATTTTTATTACGAATTTTAAACTATATCTATTAATATAATAAGAGTTATGAATTCTTGAAATAGTTTTATGACTCTGGTGTAAAGTTGGGTTTTTCAAGTTACGACAATGCGCTTTGTTCCATCGATATGTTAGAATGCTTGGCTCCAACGCTTTTTGCATTGATTTTGCCAATATCAAAGTATGTACAATAATGACTGGTGCTTAGAGAGAAAAAAATTTACTAAATACAAATAAATTTTATCAGTTTTCCATACACGAATCTGTGATTTTAAGAGCAGCACAAACAAATATATGTTAGACTAACTACTTTAAAGATAAACATTAGAAGCAGATAATAATTTCAAAAGTCAAAGAAATGCTAAGACTTAATGCGTGCGCGTCCCCACATCAAACGAATCTCGCTAAGACGCTAGAGCAGACCACACCATCTCACACATTGTTTGCTGACTGAAATATACAGTACTAGCAACAACTTTCATTACTCCTTATCTCTTCAATATAGGAAATCCTATATAGATGTCAAGTGAAATACATTAAAATATGAATTCTTAAGTGCCAGCTAGTATGAATAAAAACATAAAATCTACGATGTATCTAAAAACAGACAGACGTAGCAATTTTATAGATTTCTGCCATTATTTAAAACCTTTCGATGCACATCCTACATCCTACAACAAAATGGCATTGTGTAGTTATAACAATACAACTTTCCAAGTCATTTTGACGGTCCAACGAACAGATCGGTCAATAGCATATGAGCACGCATTATTTACAATACACACAAGTGCATTACATTCTGATGTAATGTTTACCTACCCAGTTCATTTTATATAACATGATTGTATCAACCTGACTTATAAGTGTAAACCTGACAAATGTTTTTACTAACAATATGAGTAACATTTCCTATAAATTAATTTCATACCCAGTCCAATAGCTAAGAACTGCCGTCTTTGTAATTGAGACACCTGGCAGTCCAAGCCTTTTTAGCTTCTCCAGAAAGAAAAGGGAGAGGATTGATAACTAGCCAAAGACCATAACAGCTCAAAGCCAATGGTGTTGATACAAGGATCATAATGACAATAGGAAAGCACTTGCAATATAAACCTGCCCGTCAACAGCCCCTATGGATTTAGTGTAACAAACTATTGCATATCTTTGTTTCGACATATGGAATTTATCGGCATACAATCTTATTCTAACCTGGCTGCGGTTCGGTCATCATGCTCGTAGAATGTTCCTCTCTTGGGGATATACTGAGGATTGCTCCTATCTTCATCATCATCAACTCTGCGTTCACCTTCCTGTAAAATTTAAACCTTATAATAATTCTGCTCTACACCTTTTAATAACCTAACACCTTAATTTTTTTTTATATAAACGTTAACATAAATTGAATATACAAAATATTAATTTGGATATATTAAAATATACCATGTGTCATTTTTATGGATAAAAAGGAAATTGTGTCAAATAGACAACTTGGGATCGGGAGCTACTGTTAATTTCTTCCGTTTAATGGATGAATATCAATTATATTAAACTTCAATATGCCTTGAGATAAAAATAACTACAACACAGTCATTAAAGTACTTTAGAATTAAAAAGTAAGCATTACATATAATCATTTTCTTTATCTATAATAATAATAACTGGGGATAAGTCACAAAGGGTCATATAGCATTGTTTACAGATACATAGTACCTTGGGTACAAAGGTTTATAAAATTAAGACAATTTTACAATGTCCAAATACATAAACAGAGATAATGAGATTGAGTGACCAGAATATCAAATTGAATTTAGGAAAAATTTATTTATTTATTTATTTATTACACCTTCATGTAAAATTTACATTGGCGGACTTAATGCCTAAGGCATTCTCTACCAGTCAACCAAAATTTAATGTTTTATTAAAGTCTTCAACACTAATACATTAAGAAAATTTACTGCTAATAGCCATTTAATTTTGTGTACCAACATTCCACTTATTTCTAAAGTATTTCATATGTTCCAATTTGAAAGGTATAAAATATGCCAGGATGACATTTCACATTCAATGAGCTCTGGTAACAGCAGATGGGATGTTCGAATATCTATAGATTAAAAAGCATTTAAAAGAACCCCATCACAAAAGTTATTTTCATGTTATTAACAAATTCAAATTTCTTTAACCTTGATTCAGTTTAACAAAAACCTGTTTTCTGAATCTGCTGTAATAAATTTGCATTATTTTGAATGAATTAATTTTTATCATTGTCATTCAAGCTCTATAGTGTTAATAGTCTCCTCCGAAATTTGTAGTAATTTGTTTATGATCCTTTATATATTTAATGAGGCTGTCTGAATATATATTTTAGTATTTGAATCTAAGTTTTCATTCCATATTATTTCATCTTTGACTTATTTACAGTTATTTGCTTTAATTCAACATGAGTGAGATAGATGGAAATGTTTTTTTAAATATATAAACTTTGAGGTATCAATTAAATGAACAAGTGAAAGCTGTTTAATATTTTTAAATAAGAACTGGAGACTGTTTATCAATGTTAATTAAATTTTAAATTTAAATATAAAATTTAAAAACATAATCATGTGCCGTAAACAGTTTGCTATAATTTTAGAATGTTGTCACTATGACGTAATAGCCATAACATTTATTAAATATAATATTTAGAAAATAACTTCAATGAGATGCAATCCAAAAAGGTTAAAATAAGTGATGAACATGAGGCAAGACACTTCCAATTACTGTTTTTCAAAACCTGTTTTCGTGAATCAATTCCAAAGTCCGATGGTTTAATAAGAAATTATTTTAAAGTTTTAATTTATTTAATCCTTGCAGATTATTAGCAAAATAGTTCTCTGCAAGTCTAATTTTAAAGCTAAGCAATTATTGTATATTTTACCATTGCCAGTACACAATTCCTGCATATAGTAGTATCAAAATTTTCATTTTGAGCAGTTTTGTTTTTTAACAGGATTATTCATTCATTGATTATTCATTATTATTCATTGATTTTGAAAGTTATTAGACAAAGTAGTTAGTTAGGAAAACTGCTATTTGAAGTCAGCTTTTGATCCACTATTTATACTTTTGGATCATAGGATTTTTAATTTAGCAACTAAATTGTTTTTTTTATTTACTGATTTAACTTTCTATAGTGAATAAGCTTAAGTACTTTACAAATCTTCAGTACTTAAAAAATTTACTTTATAATTTCTACCAGTTTGATAAAAGTTTTCTTAAAAATGCATGCATAAAACAATGTTTAAGTTGTATTGGTAGGTGTCCATTGTATTTATATGCATGGTACTTTTTTGTATTTTGTTCACAAGTAACAAAGAAAAAGTACGTAAAATAATGCACCTATAACAAAAGAGACCAATTTTGTTTCTCTAATTTTTTATATGATAAAAAAGCTGTCTTCTTAATTAACTTGTCTGAAAAGTCGTTAAATTGTGATCTAAATTTAATGAATGGTTACCTGTGCCTCTGGATCCCGTTCAGAGTGGTCAGAATCGCTACCCTGCGAGTCATAATCGGACTCGGGCGGCCCTTCCTGTAAACAATCGGCAACCTTCAGGGAATGCATATCGCAAAACAAAACAATGCCTACGAATTACGTGGCGCTCTTGAATTGCAGTCCATGTACAAAGACAACGTTAGAGCGATTGCAGAACTATCATGACCTCAATACAACAAAACGAAATGGGAATTCCGACACGCGAAATCGCCGGAGAAAGTAACACTGTAATACTTTATGCGCCAAAACGAAAGTGCGACCGTCGAGACCACTAGTTAACAACTCACGTTCAACGAGTTATTGTGTTCGATGTCCTGAGAAGCATCTGAATATTCTCCCGAATCGTCGTGCTCCCGTCTTCGTACCACGGACGTCATTTCGGCGTCCTCCCGTGTCACTTGTATAACTTCCAGATTGGCGGCTTAAAATAATACAATTAATTAAAACGAAGCGGCAAACGCGCTCAGTAGTTTACAGTAGCGACGGTAAAACCCCCACTAGTTATTAATTAAAATGCAATAAAAGAACGTCAAAACAAGCACGGGGATCTAGCAGCCATAAAAAATATATTCCATTTCACGTAATCTTAATAATCTTAACTATCCTTGGTTCTAAATCTGGAAATTCTGAAAATACATAATTTTCTAGTTTTTTCTACCAAATAACAAACAAATTTCTATGAACTTTAAGAGAGATAGAAAATAAAACAGTAAAAGTTTGGGGCTTCTCAAAAGCTTTTTTTTAGAAAAGTCTTGGTTTTTTAATTTTTTACGTGGACTGAAAAATTGTTACAAATTTTAAATGTGGCAATTTATAAACTCATAGATTATACCATTTTGAATGAGCCTGTGACTACAGTGTACAACTTTTGGATGGAAACGCAAGAAGGTGTTTGGTGTTTTTTGGGACGCTAAAACCATGTGCATAATAATTACATGTAACAATGGTGGCCTATTAACGTATAACATCGATGAAAATGCGCACGTATTAGAAAATGAAAATAAGTCTTAATGTGTCTTGTCGAGATCTTGTTGATCAGTGCTTCCTGTCTCATCTCATCTCACTTCATTCAATTCAGATCAGATCGTACCACTTAAACATACATTTCTTGAAGAAGGTTTTGATCCCTTTGCTTATTAAATGGACGATAAAAATTCATTTAAATACAAGGGACTTTTGGCGGGAACGCGAATAGTGAAGTTGTGTGATTTGTTTTATTTTGTCTATTTAATGTTTCTTCAGGTTTAAATGTGTAATAACGGTGGTTTATTAACTGCTTAGTATCTGTGAAAGTACACAAATGTGAGAAAATGAAACAAAGCCGCTGACGTAACTTCTCGGGATCCTCCAAAAAGTCCACTGAAAAAGTCTCAGTATATCATCTCATCTCATTTAATTTCCTAATATCATTTTTCACATATATATAAAAGTTTTAATTCAAATTAAAATAAGACTTCACCTAAAAGTCTTAGTTACCAGGTCATAAAATCCCATAAAAAAACTCATCTAGACGTTTACATTTTTTACCTATAAGTTTTTACTCTCAATTAAATTAAGTGTATAATCTATGGTTTTTACATTTATTTATTGACATTTGACTTTTTGGCGGGAACGCGAGTAGTGAAGTTGTGCGATTTGTTTTATTTTGTCTATTTAGTGTTTCTTCAGGTTTAAATGTGTAATAATGGTGGTTTATTAACTGTTTAATATCTGTGAAAGTGCACAAATGTGGGAAAATGAAACAAAGCTGCTGGACGTAACTTCTCGGGTTCCTCCAAAAAGTCCACTGAAAAAATCTCAGTAAATGACCACCATTTTACTGCGATTATATTTCATCCCATATCATCTCATTTCATTAAATTTCATCCCAGTTGATTAATGTCTCAAATTAATCATCTTCATTTCATTTCACTCTATATTATCATTTTTCATAAAATTAAGAATATAAAGTAAAATAAGACATGACTTAAAGGTCTTAGTTACCAGGTCATAAAATCTCTTAAAAAAAAAAATTTATTGACATTTAGAGGATACATTTAAGCATGATTATTGAGGATATTGTTCGTATGTACTTGTGTGTAGATAATTTTACATAAATATTAAATTATTTCCTAAATATTTAGTGCATATCTATGATGTTAATAAATAATAATAAGTATCTTTCTGATTAAAGAACATAAATACTAAAGAAGACATACTAACTAGATAGGAACACAATGGAAAAGTAAGAAACATTTGTTTTGAAATAGCACACTGAGACAATCGATGAAGCTGATCGTACGTACTTCGTATCGTTTTTAATACTTTATTTATTTTTAAGTACCGAGAAAGCAGATTTGAATGACGCGAAGACTTGTAACTTACTGGCCAAAGGTATTTTGGAGTTGTACGAACCACCATTGACAACAATAAACACTCATTTGAAGGAATTAACGTAAGTACCAGCTGTGGGTCTTGTAAACGGCGACCATGAGATAAACCCTGATTATCTTACTTGTACATTTTGATTACCAAACACCATCATGGTAGGATACATTTAAAACCTACCCCGTGGATTGGTATCAGCATTCCCACAACTCCAGACTTGATGCAATTATGTTCACATAAGACATCATTTATCTGATGTCTCAAAGTAAACACTTAACGGCAATTGGGCTGTGAGGTTAGCTACAGCAAAAAAACCTGCATCTTTTGCTAGATTGATTTTCAAAACCACCACAATATACAGCTTTCAAAGCATATCATAGAAAATACATTTTAGGTAATGAGTAGTGGAATTAAAATGTACCAATGATATGCAAGTTAACTAGTTACTTATAATTAGTTATATACAAGCTGAATTTTACACAACCTGGTCTGTATGGCTGTTTCTGAGTCTTGTAATAATTCTGCTGTCTATTTTTGTGCTGGTAGAAAACGGCTGTTTTAATGGATTTTGGCTATTGTAGAGAGGTTTCACTGGTAACTTTTTGTACTAGTAACACTAGTATCTTGGTAGTTTCCTAATAACTGTTTCTGTGTCAGAGATTCCTTGGTAACTGATTTTTGCATTGAAATGACCCATATCTTATATTAATTTCGATACCCTATCTTGCTTATAAATTATTAATTGTAAATTTTAAATTACTTATTAACTATATTAATTCTATTTGTTTCTTATAACTGTTTAAAATTAATTTCTTCTAGCACACAAGCAATTAAAACTGAAATCCTTTTAACAAAATGCAACCTACCATTAGGATTTATGTATTTTTTTTTCTAAACCTATACTTTACATCTACAAAACTAACTACACTAATGGGGTGTGTTATTGACTCGTACTGGCAAGTATTAGCAGCCAGCTCACTTCTGCCGTCTGCCTGACTAAAAAAACCACAATGATTTATTCATTTATTTATCGCATTGATGGTGAACAGGCTTACGAAAAGAATCTTCAAATATGAGATATATTTCTCCATTATATAGAAATTATACAAGTTGTAATTTTTAGATGTTGGAGTGAGGCCAGCAATTGGCTTCTTTAATAGTACAATGTGTATTTTTTTCTTAAAAACCTATGATTTCAGGGAAAAGCAAGATGCTATACACAACACAATAAAATTTGAGAGGCAAAAGCTAGAAGATATACAGAATGATGCAATGCTGGATGCAATGGTTAGTTTTTCATAACATTGACCACTGGTTTTTTTAATTGCATAAATGTAAATGAGGTCACCTGGTGTTATGCCCACTTCGAAAACCCGGCACGACACAAGAACCCTCTCATCATGGCCGCTGGTAACTACATTCCCGATCCAGCGGACAGAATAGAAAGCAGTTGACGTCGCCCAAAACACTGATTTCGGATTCTCCCTATCTACTAACGGAGCTCTTAGGTTGTTTTTTTTTTTTTTTTTCGGGCCGAGGGCCGAACCTCCTACGAGGTCCCTAGCTTTTAGGTACTTCAAGCACTGGTCATCGTAAATTAACCTACAGACACAGCCCAGTGAGCTTCTCGCCGGATCTTCTCAGTGGGTCGCGTTTCCGATCTGGTGGTAGATTCTGCGAAGCACGGCTCTTGCTGGGGTTCGTGTTAGCAATGTCATCAGGTTTATACCTTGTGAGCTCACCTACTTGTTAAGGTTACGCTGAAATAACCTCTCAAGGCTATCCGTTTAAGTATGAAAAAAAAAGGTGTTAGTTATTGGAACCCATTTACATCACAATGTGAATCCCATTAACCACCTGTGGATGTGAGTTTCAAATTCTTAATTCTGTTGTATATTAACCCATCATGCATCTAATTTTACTAATTTTATTTTCTAATTTTACAGAAACAAATGAACATGAAGTCCTTAAAAATAATAACATGGATTCTTCTGGATAAATAAATTCTTTGGCATTAGTTCACATTTATCTTTTTTACTGTTTGATTAGCTGAATATTGGCATTTTATGGAAAAATCATTATAATTATGATCCAGTTTTATATTTTATCAATATTATAGTTCACCAGAAAATGTGTAATAATTATATTCACACAATAAAAATTAATTTAATTACATAATATTAGATCATTTCTACTTTCAGTTAGCCGATATTGCAACAAACAGAGAAAAACTATTAACCATATCGAATTCAATGATGGTACTACATAAAAGAGTGCAATCGTTACAGGTTTGTCATTTTTTTTTAAATATGATCATAACGTGCATAATGGCTATTGCTTGGTTTGTATCTTCACTGTGGAAAAGTTTTTTGGATGACAATAATACGCCATTGAAATTGCTGCAAAATGGGGTTTGTATGGAATATGCTATATTTGAACAAACACATTATGGTGCAGGTGCTTATCAAATTTAACTTTACAGGAAAAGAAATGTGGAGAATAGAGATTAGCATAATGTCCATTGATAGAGCCCCTTAAAGCTACTTAAGTTACAAGTCTACATGCATTCTTCATATAAATTCCTTTCTCTGTAATACAATGTACCAAAATCGCATAGATTACTAAGATATCTGTCTCATTGTCTATTGCATTAAAAATGGAAAAATATGAGTATTTGGCCCAACCTCAAACTTGTCAAATCACAAAATATAAATTACTATAATGGTGACTTCAACCATGCCATGAATTTATCTTCTAATTTACGCAAAAAAATGAATATGTCTAATTTTCAGGTCAGGGCAGCCAATGTAGAAAAGGCAGCTAACACTAGAGCTGCTACCAGTAAACATACAAGTAATTAAATCTTATACAAGTGACAGTAACAAAGTGTCCTATAAATAAATAAGTCAGTGAGTCCTACCCTGTGCAGTAATTAAGGCAATCATTTTTTAATTTATTTATTGCTTAGATGGATAGGCGAGCTCACAGCCCACCTGGTGTTAAGTGGTTACTGGAGCCCATAGACATCTACAACGTAAATGCGCCACCCACCTCGAGATATAAGGATATAAGCTATAATATAATCATGCCATTGGCTGGAGCCCTTTTTATTTGAAGGCACTTAATTCGTTTTGGCGCTAAGGAATAACATGTCGAGTTGTGAAAGGCAATTTGGTTTAAGCAACATTTCACTTAATATGCGACATTTATCATTTTATAGTTCGATGGTTTTTAATTTAAATTCAATTATATTTACCACATTCAAATAGCTGAAGAAGTTATGATATTTTTTTCAAATTTTAAACTTTAAACTTTAAACGGATATGGAGTAAAGTTGTAAAAACCTTGCTTAAAGCCTTTCACTCCTCGATGTTATAAATATTTAAATTTACACCATACAGTGATAAAATGGAATTTAAGGGAGTTGATGATTCCAAAGGAGCCATACAGCATTCAACATAATAACTCTGTGTTCTCTCAATCACAGTGTTGGTCCTTTTTATTTTCATTGTGGCATTTATGAATCTGCTACAGAAATAAAAAATAAAAAAATCTTTTATAATCATATAACTTTATTTAATACTTATACGTACACTAATCATACTATATAAGCGAAGTATACAAAAATAATTATTTCTATTCACAATTTTAGCTTTTAATATTGAAAATTAAGTTGTAAAATTTTTAAACAATGTAGTAACTATTTTTTTACAAAAATAAACGGGTTTTACTGTTCGATTAGAAATCAACAATCTAAAAAGAATAGAATTTTTTTTAACATTTAAAGATTTAAAGTGGTGTTGCCAATCACTGTTTTTAATTAAACACGATTTAGACTTCAAGTTGTTATGTTCCATTATATGAAGCGAATGTCTCGTGTATAACAATTGAGACGTGGACTATTCAGACACATTATAACGTGCCTTTGTGAAATTATATGGACTTATCTAAATATTAATAACCTAATGCAATAAGCAAGAGAAAAGCTTTTGAAAAAATTAATGTAGTCTGCCCTGTAGAATTTATTCTTCACTCTGTGATATTCATATGCATAGGTTTTATTAAATGGCTCTGTTTAGATCGGCAATCTACTCATTCCTAGTGCAGGTAGCTAAATAAAGATGAGGATTCTAGAGTTGTTGAAACATAAAATAAAATAAATTTGTCATCAAAAATAATAGAAAAACTAACTCACATGATTGCAATGTTCTCATGAATAATAGAATAAGTGAGAGTTGTTTTTCGTTCATTCTAAACAGATCCGAAAATGTGACATCATTTGTAATGACAAACCTCAACATTTCTTATTGCTGTGATTTGAAAACACAAGTAGATGAAAGTATGTATAAAAAATAATAATACACTCTTGTAATATCCGTTGCGTTAATTTCTTTTAGAGTTACTTTGAATCTTATCTGTGTAAATAAAACCATAATCACCAATTTTTTAAATATATATGCTCATAGTTATCATGAAGATAATAAATCACATAGGCTCTTTTTTATTAATGTTTTCAAATTACTTAACCTTTTGTAATAAACTAAGTGTAAAATCTAATATAAAAAATATTTTAATGAGATAATATAGAAGACATAATATATTTTTAAGGTACTAATAATTGTACCATTGTTAATAAGTTGTGAACTTAATCTATTTTATAAATTTAATGTTATGTTATAGTAAAGATACTTGACTTATGTTCTGTTCAAATTTTATTGATGTATTGAAAATATGCTCAAAAGTTTTTGATGCATTTTTCATACATTTTTGCTGATGGCAACTTTATAGTGATCAATAATCAAGTGTTGCAAACATTTAGCTAACACTTACAAATTTTTAGTTACCTATTGGAACAGTCAGGAGGATTCTAAGACTAGTTTTATGTTTGATAGCTGACACAGACAGACAAATGAACTAAACGCATGTAATATATTTACCTTAAATTTTAATATCCAACTGAGAAATCGGAAGTTACCTAAAATGGCACAAAACTTTATTACAAGAGACTAAGTACAGAAAAGTTTTATTTTATTTTACAATTCAAAATAATAAATAATAGTCTCAGTCTCTTTGGTGTGTTTGTTCATTTGTCTTCAGATATCCAAATTTATTTATAATCATTAAAACTGGCATTTTCTGTAGCACACCCAGTTCAAGTCTATCTTAATGTAAGGCAACTAGTAAAAGTTTGTTTTAGTAAGTACATTACATGTTCATAAATAAGTTGAATATTTTGGATTTTTCTATAGTAAATAAATGTATTTTCATGTTCATAGTATTTCCTTACACTTGAATTAAGTTTACATAATTATTAAAGTTTCTTCACGTCAAATACACACGTTCAAAAGGTACCTCAAATCGAAAAATATCCTATAATTTTGAAGTCAGCTAAAAGTTAATAACATATATTTATGTACTTACATCACATCTAAGTGATCCGAGATCGCATGTACATATTTAAGGTTTATATATATTTTTTGATACACCAAGGATTTTGTCATTCGATATTTGTTTTATTTCGTTTTAATTCTTTAACTCACAATAGTTTCGTATTTTTTTTTATTTCTATATTGTTATTGTTACAATGATAAACTTCAAATATCCACATTTTCATTGGGTTTGCTTGAATAATGTGTGTGAAAATTAGAAAGTCCATTGATGAGTTTACGATAGACGTATATACGTTTAAAATGAAAAATAAATAACAATAATAGTATGCAATTAATATTTTATATAAATATTATGGATATTTTGGAAAAACGTTTTTTTGTTGAAAAAAACTTTTTTCTTTAGTTACTTAGTTAAAGAAAATACTTTTATAAATGAGAAGCAGTTAATTCGTAATAAAAAAATACCTTCATTGTATCAATGGATGGGGTGAGAATGGATAATTAATAAGAAACTTTTACTATCTTGTCCTGAGCTTAAAACGTTTAAAATCCAGACATCAATATTTATTAAAGTAGGTAAAAAAAATTGTTTTGTATTAGAATAAAAGTAATCAAAACTTTGCAGAGATTCAAAAGTTTTTTTCATTTCACAATTATTATTTTTTATCATAACCTAAGTTTTTGACAACTAGTGTTGCCAGTCAAACCCTTGGTAGAATTCAAGACGAAACGAATGTGGATTTTTAGTGATAACACAATAGTGTTATCATGTGATTGGGTGTTTCATCAGGTTAGCTCACGTAAGGGAGGACGGTGAGTACAGAGGACTCAATGCCGGTGCCGCTGTGGCCGCGGGCGATGCGGAAATAGCCCTTCTCGCCCCACGACGTTCCCCAGCTGTTGGCCACGATCTGCGGATAGATATAACTGGTGGTAGGACATCTTGTGATCCCGCGCGGGTAGGTACCGTCACCCTGCCTATTTCTGCCGTGAAGCATGCGTTTCGGTTTGAAAGGTGGGGCAGCCGTTGTTCTGTTAAAACTGAGACTTTAGAACTCATGTCCCGAGGTGGGTGGCGGCATTTACGTTGTAGGTGTCTATGGACTCGGGTAACTACTTAGGTGGGCTGTGAGCTCACTCATCCATCGGAGCAATAAAAAAAAAATGTGAGCCGTCACGGACGCCTGGCAGATGTGAAACATCGACATTATTTTGTAAAAGTAATATGCAGAAAAGAACAGATAGTGATAGGAAGTAAATATGTCATAATGATAAAATAAAATATTACGAAAAAATAATTTGTTTTCAAGTAAAATACAGGTTATGTGTACTGTAGTAAACAACACTGTATACACTACGGAGTATACACTATAGGTATCCGAGCTCAGTGTAGCGAGAGAGAAGGCTTAACGCTAGATCGAGTGGGAGAGAATCGCACAGTCGATAGCGCATGGCGACGTGTCGCCACGGCATGCGTCGCCATGCCAGAAATCGGTTTTACGAGCGGCTATGGATGTTTCACATTTTAAGATCTCATTTGTATCGATGGTACCTGTATAATCGTTCATAAAAACCAAAGTATACAATGAATGCAATACGGTATGATTCTAGGAGAGTATGCTCTATCCTTTCCAAACAATACGAGTTCTTTGAGCATGTGAACTCAATTAATTACTAAATATAATGGCTCCTCTATCTAGTGTGAAATTAGAACGCACCTAAATATTATCCGTATTTCTGGATATATAATTATTTGTAAAGATTTTTTATTTATTTGTTATGAATAAACAATTGACACTAGAATTCAGCTGTCATACCTCACAAATACGTAGTATCTTTGATTTTCGCTAACAGCTCTATTTCAGTTGGGCCGCGAGTAAATGAATTAACTTACCCAATATTTATCTTCGGCGTCCTCTCCCCAACCCACGATCCTCACGCTGTGGAGGCCGCGCATCTGCTGATCCCCGTGCCTGGTGTGACGATATATACCTTCTCGGTAGTGGAAGAAATCTTGGTACACCGTCATTATACCTGGAATGGAAGATTGTTTTGTTATCATCATAACCGCTGGTAAAACGCCCACTGTTGGACATATATTATACGAATCATCCGCTTGAAGTACAGAATACCCACAGACACAGCCCACTGAGTTTCTCGCTGGATCTTCTCAGTGGGTCGCGTTTCCGATCCGGTGGTAGATTCTGCGAAGCACTGCGCTTGCCAGGGCTAGCAACACTCCGGTTTGAGCCCCGTAAGCTCACCTACATGTTAGGGCGAAGCTGAAATAGCCTCTCAAGGCTATCAAATAGGTAGGAGAAAAAAAGTACAGAAAAAAGTACAAACTCAAGACACCGCGAGGCGTTGACCGCACGAGTTAGACGATTTTTGGCTTTGTGTTGTTACATTGCGTGCTGTGCAATGACATAAGTTGATATTTATTTTCGGTAAAGAATCTCTTACGTGACCTAATGTCTACGGAAGTGTGAACGATTGGCTAGAACTGATATTCCCTTATTGTTAATTTGAAAAATGGTCATCGTTTTTAAAAATAATTCACTCAGTAAATGATAGTTCTAATTGAATTTACTTAAGGGAGATGCTTATGCAGCCCCTTTGTTGGTCAGTCTCCGATGCTCATGGACATCATGTGTGCCAGGGACGAAGCCGGGCCCCTACCTACCTCCAATTCAACCTTTATTAATTAATCTTTTTGTCAACAAACAAAACTAGTTGATTGCGAAAGGTAATTTTCACAATTGACACAAATTCGCTATCAAACATTAAATGATGTTATCTAAATAAAGAGAAGCCTTATTTCAATATTGTTGTCTACTTATTTTGAATCATGTGAAATGTATTAGGCTTTTTGGTAATGAGTACATTCTGTGGATTCTAGCCACGTTTTTATTTGTGTAAATTTCCAATAAAGTGGAGCATAGCGAAATTCGAATCCCGTCAGGCTTGACCTTGTAATGTTACTGAAGTCTTGAAGTTCATCAATATCAGATTACTTCTGTTCGCTTCGTAACTCAACGGACAAAATCGATTCCATAAATATTAATACTTTTTTTTAAGGGATTTTATGACGTATAGTAGAATTATTTTGTCCGTGCAGTTTGGGTCATAAAACATAGCCCGGCTAGGGTGGTGAGCATGTTGCGCGGGCGCAACGCCATTATCGATAAAAACAAATGAGTTATCGAAGGCAGGTACACGGCAGCGGGGTGGTGGTGAGATATTGTTATGTTATGAGTCATTTGTGCAAATTATAGTACTTTATGTCGAAGAGAAATGTGTTTTTATGCATTTGTTCTCTGAATTTCTTTAGTGACACAATGGCTACTCCTTTGTTTTGTATCAAAACGGTAGAATTTATTCAAAATAATATTTGCACGTGTTATTATCAACAATGTCTTAAAAAATTTCACTGAAATAAGAATAGTTCTCGAAAAGTTACAAAGTGTTAATTTCTGCCGTTTTCGTTAACTTGCTGCGGCGATATGTGGTGTAAGTGTTCGATTAGTGTTTTTTCTTTCATTTTTATCACTAACCCACAAAATGACAAAACTAAATACACTATCGATAACACTTATCGACAACAATAATGCGCATCAGTATGCCCGTCCATGTGGAAGAGAGAGCGAAATACTCGCTTCACCGCTCCGATTTTTTATGACCCAAACTGCACGGAAAAAATAATTCTACTATAGTAACTAAGACTTATTTTAATCAAGTCAAGTCTTATTTTAATTTATATTCTTATTTTTATGAAAAATGATATTATGGAGTGAAATTAAATAAAATGAGATGAGACGATATGGGATGAAATATTATCTCAGTAAAATGGTGGTCATTTACTGGGACTTTTTCAGTGAACTTTTTGTAGGATCCCGAGAAGTTACGTCCAGCGGCTTTTGTTTTATTTTCGCAAATTTATGCACTTTCACCGATACTAAACAGTTAATAAATCACCGTTATCACACATTTAAACCTGAAGAAACACTAAATAGACAAAATAAAACAAAAATCACACAATTTCACTCCTCGGGATGCCTGTACAAATAGGGATTCGATTATATTTTCTATCTCTACTGAAGACTTCTTTCCTGAGAAAATTTGCTATCACCGATCGGAATCGTGGATCGGATCCGACGAGAAACTCACTGTCTATTGGCTAGTTCGTCGAACTGACGGAAGACTAAGCAAGTTCGACTTGCACCATACCGGAAGCTAAGCGATGCTACGCTAAGCGCTGCGATAGAAATTTGCACTTTGATTGCCATGTTCCATTGCTGTTCTCCACGGGCGACTATGGTCAGTGGGAATCATATTTGTCTGTATTTTTTATTTATTGCTTAGATGGGTCGACGAGCCCACAGCCTACCTGATGTTAAGTGGTTACTGGAACCCATATACATCTACGACGTAAATGCGTCACCCATGTTGAGATATAAGTTTTAAGGTCTCAAGTATAGTTACAACGGCTGCCGCACCCTTCAAACCGAAACGCATTACTGCTTCACGACATAGATAGGCAGAGTGGTGGTACCTACCCGTGCGGATTCGCAAGAGGTCCTACCAGTGTATCCTAAGTGATGGTCGGAAACTCTGACGAAAAGACGAAAACTCACCCAGCGCAGGTCCCGAAGTCATGATGTCGTACATGATGTCTTCTTCTTTGCTGATGCTGAAGGGAACTCCGACTCTGTAGCGCCGGCAGTCATTGCCTATTCTACATTGAGTGACAGCGCCTTCGTAAGGGAAACACTGCTCGCTGACCAAGCTGTCGAAATTAATAAGACGGATATTAAACACTTAAATATTTCGGATAAATCTTCCTTTTCGTTTGTCCTTCTCAATCGCGTCACTATTGACGGAGTGCTGATCGTCATGGAGGAGTCATACTTGACGCGTCTCACGATGTCCCGCCGTCTGTCACTGCTCGAGATCACCCTACTGCTCTCATTTAAGGGACCTCCCATTGTGGTTTTAATTTGGTTCGTCCACCGCATTGGGGGTTTTCGTTTGCTATTTTTTAAAAGATTTACTTAACTATATTAATATATGTTATGGTTACTTTGACCGCATGCCTCAAGGTGGTATTAACGTTGAGATGCCCATAGACAGACGGCCACCAGGTAGGCTGCTTATTTTGACATAAAATCAAATCAAATCAAAAAAAATATAATATTCAACATAAATGAAAGTACATACTTGTTGAACGTCAAAAAGAACTACCGCCAATTCACAGAAACTAGCCCCCGTCCTATATAAATATGTATATCTAAAATCCAACTTACCCGTGTGTCTTGACAAAGTCAAAAGCGATGTCCAGGTTACCGCCGTTGCAACCACGCTGGCCTTTCAAATGACAAGAGAGGAGTGTCTGAGAGCTCATCCTTACGTTTTCAGTTCCAAAAGATTGAATCGAAAATCTGAAAGAAAAAAAACGAGCTTAACTATTGTTGTTGTTGTATAGCAAAGAATTGATTTACTTAATTACATTTATACAGGGTGTTTTTTTTTTTTTAAGAGATTTTATGACCTGGTAACTAAGACCTTTAAGTCATGTCTTATTTTACTTTATATTCTTGATTTTATGAAAAATGATAATATGGAGTGAAATGAAATGAAGATGATTAATTTGAGACATTAATCAACTGGGATGAAATTTAATGAAATGAGATGATATGGGATGAAATATAATCGCAGTAAAATGGTGGTCATTTACTGAGATTTTTTCAGTGGACTTTTTGGAGGAACCCGATAAGTTACGTCCAGCAGCTTTGTTTCATTTTCCCACATTTGTGCACTTTCACAGATATTAAACAGTTAATAAACCACCATTATTACACATTTAAACCTGAAGAAACACTAAATAGACAAAATAAAACAAATCACACAACTTCACTCCTCGCGTTCCCGCCAAAAAGTCCTATACAGGGTGTATGTTTATATTAATACAGAGTGTATATAAAACGAAACTGTAAAATAAACTACTTAGTAAACAGATAATAGTATTAATTAGCTAAGCTCAGACTAAATACAGTCAGTTCAAATTTAATGAGACCGAGACTTAGGTCTGTGTGCTTAGTGTGAGTTTTTTAACGTTCTCGATCGCGTAAAAGTTAACGCAAATTTGTATGGAGTTGGAACAGCGTCTCTAGCGGCAAACGTAGGGAAGCTGAAAGAAAAGAGAGAGAGAGAAAGAGAGAAGTTAAAAAGCTTGCACTAAGCTGAGGATACGAGCCATTGAGGCCGTCGAATCTGTGTCATCCACTAGACCAACGATGAACAACACGCGTCCCGCCAAGCATTTCTAAAATTTAATTTATTTTATCGACTTCTTTACTTTTTTTTCTTTTATATTTTTTATTATAATATTTATTATAAATAAAGTTTCGTAAATTATTAATAAGAGTTAACATATGCGCGGCCCACCAAAAAAAAAATTAAAATTAAAATTGTTTAAAAAGCCCATTGATTAAAAAGGTTGCTAGCCCCTGCACTAGACCATTTGCTTTTATTTTCGCAAATTCTCGTCGCGTATACAGCCAGAGCCGAGGTTCACTTGGCCTAGACCGAGGAATCGATTACTTAACAGGTTTATAATGATATCGATTTATAAGATTAAAATCCTGTTTCGTGTGTAATCGGCTGAGACACACGCAGCCGTAGGTTCATGTTATCATCCGTGAAACACGCGATATCGCGGAATCAAATTACTTTATGATATAATATTTTTATTTTTATTGCTTAGATGGGTGGAGGAGCTCACAGCCCACCTGGTCTTAAGTGGATACTGGAGCCCATAGACATCTACGACGTAAATGCGCCACCCACCTCGAGATATAAGTTCGAAAGTCTCAAGTATAGTTACAACGGCTGCCCCACCCTTCAAACCGAAACGCATTGCTGCTTCAAGGGTGGTGGTACCTACCTGCGCGGACTTCCAAGAGGTCTTACCACCAGTAAGGCTAACTATCTTACTGTGAATCTAAGCCCCAGTGAATCTAAGCATTGACAACGCAACGAAATATGTAATGTTACTTATAGCGATGTTGTATTTTCGAAGTCCTTACCTATCGCCGACAATGCTGGCAATGGACACGGCCCAATCAGACCCGCACCAGCCCTGGTCGGCGATGGGACTGATGTATCCGTACCATTCTCGTCTGGCGTCAAACTCATCTGGATACTGGCCGTCCTTGCTGTAGCTGATAACGGTCACGTTCAACGGGAATGTTCCTGTGATGGACAATTATCTAATTTATAAGAATGGTCATATTCATGGTATTTAATAATGTGTGTCATAGAAATGAGCCGAAATTTTGCAAAGTTGTGGGTAGGCGAAAATTAGTTTTGGGGACAATATCAAAAACCTATTTAAGGACAAGTTCAGCGTTTTAGGTTAAAATATTGTCTAAACTTAGGTGCCATATGTGCGACGCATGATAAAGATGTGAGAGACCCTCTCGTAATAGCCTCCTCATCACCTGTCCATAGCTAAACATATGTGCCATGCAGTGATACCTCTTTTTAAATCTGGTAGTACTGATGACCCCTCTAACTATAGACCTATTTCAGTACTCCCTACGTTGAGTAAAATATTTGAAAAAATTATTTTGACACAACTTTTAGAACATTTTAATTCAAATAACCTGCTTCATAATAAACAATTCGGGTTTACCAGGGGTTGCTCTACAACTGATGCAGGTGCTTATCTACTCAAAAATATTTTTAAATCTTGGGAGGAATCGCATGATTGTCTTGGAATTTTCTGTGACTTGTCCAAAGCATTTGACTGTGTTGAACATGAAACATTGGTGAGGAAACTACATCACTATGGTATCAGGGATGGTGCATTGGAACTTATTACTTCCTATTTATCAGGAAGGATACAAACAGTAGATGTGAAAGGTAATAGATCTTCAGGCACCTTGTTGAAAATGGGTGTACCTCAGGGTTCCATTTTGGGTCCTTTTTTATTTCTAATATATATAAACGATTTACCTAGTTTTATTGAGTCCCGACACGAGGTCGTATTATTCGCAGATGATACATCTTTATTATTTAAAATTAAACGACAATTACAAGTCTATGACGAAGTGAATGATGCGATTTCGTGTGTGGTTCATTGGTTCCGTATCAATAACCTATTATTGAATAGTAAGAAAACTAAATGTATTAAATTTACTTTAAAATGTATTAAACCATCTTTAAATGTGAGACAAGTGGATAGTGATGTAATTGTTTCTGAGGAATCATTGGAGCTTGTTGAGTCAACCGTATTTCTTGGTATAACAGTGGACTCCAAACTGCAGTGGGGACCTCATATTCATAAATTGGCGAGTAAGCTCAGCTCTGCAGCATACGCAGTAAAAAAAATTAGAATGTTAACAAACGCGGACACGGCTCGTTTAGTTTACTTTAGTTACTTCCACAGTGTCATGTCCTATGGCATTTTGCTATGGGGCAATGCGGCCGATGTAGAAATGATATTTATTCTGCAGAAAAGAGCTATACGTGCTATTTATAACATGCACTCAAGGGAATCCCTGAGGGAGAAATTTAAAGAAATTAAAGTTCTCACTATGCCATCCCAGTACATTTTTGAAAATTTGATGTATGTTCGTAAACATATTGAGGAGTTTCCTAAACAGTCGGACATACATAATAGAAATACTAGGAACAAACACAAGCTTGTTGTGCCGATGAGTAGGTTACATAAGATACGAAATTCATTCGGGTGTTTGTCTGTGCGCCTGTACAACAAAATCCCACAAGATGTTCAGAACCTACATATACATAGGTTTAAAAAAACTATTAAAGAACATCTGTGCAATAAAGCTTATTATAAAGTCAATGATTATCTAGAAGATTGCACAAAGTGGAAATGAGTTGCTCGCTCCAGGCATTTCAATATTGTAGTAATTGTTACGTTATATTACTCATTGTAAAAAATTCATATTTAAAAAAAAAATCTAATATTAAAAAATAAATAAATAATAATTTCATACGTAAAAAAAAGACATGCCCGCTGAGTTTCTTGCCAATTCTTCTCAGGACGGAGGCTAGTTCTTGTGAATTGGCGGTAGTTCTTTTGACGTTCAACAAGTATGTACTTTCATTTATGTTGAATAAAAAATTTTGATTTGATTTGATACAGATGTGAGACCCCTCTCGTAATAGCCTCCTTCCTAATCGTCTGTCCATAGCAGTCTCCATGTCAATTTCTGGTCAACAAACTGCTCTACTTGAAACTTGGTATACTATACTATATTAATTTTGATCCACTGGTGGGCGAGCACTCTCAGCTTGGCACAACATATTTAAGCCTTGAATAAATCACTCATTTTGGTCTAACGTTCCGGAAACCCGTTATTAAAATACAACTTAGACGCTGGCGTTACTGTTAGGTACATAACTATTATTTATTTATTTAATAAGTTGCACCAACAAAGTGATCATCAATACAAAACATTGACAAATTGACAAAAGTTCATGGCAGATGTCACCTCAATTATAGGTGTAATCGACAGTGCATTAACATCAAAAAATTAATAAATATATACAGCTAAGATTTGAATACATTTCATTCATTGCTTAAGATTAATTTAATTGGGAGATGATCCGCGACAGATTTTTCCTGTAAGTGGTGAGACAATTAGAAAAAACATCTATTTCACTTAAAATAAGTTCAGCGCAATCGGACAACTCCGGAGGAACATTGACGGAGACCGCGCTACCGTGGACATTATTGTAGTCCCAAAGGATTCTGTTTAAGGGAGAGTAAGCACCTAAATTCGAACGAGCGGGTTTTCTTATAAACGGTTTATATTTCTTCGTTCTTGGTAGGTACTTAGGGGCTGATATTTTTATCTGGGTTAATAGATTAGGTGTGTCGGTTATTCCATGAATTAATTTGTAATTAGGTGCTGGGAAAATAGTTGCGCTTCTAACTTTGGTATCCTTATTGAGTCTTTGACGTTATTTGTCAAGATGAACAGAAAGTTCGTATTAATATGTGCATCACTAGAAATTCAGCACAAAAATGTCCTCGCTAAATTGTAAAGCAATACGCAACGGTAGTAGTAGCATCATGACATGATCACCAATAAGCACGAACGTAACAGCATCACGAATTGAATCTATGCCTAATACTTCTACAATTAAACTTTTGCAAGCCCACTGAGTTTCTCGCCGGTTCATGTACACCTTTTTTTTTTTTTTATTGCCTTTGTAGGCAGACGAGCATACGGCCCACCTGAAGGTGAGTGGTTACCGTCGCCCACATGGACTTCAGCAATGCCAAGGGCAGAGCCAAGCCGCTGCCTACATCTCGGTTCATCTCAGTAGGTCGCGATTCCGATCAGGTAGTTAGATTCTGCGAAGCACTGCTCTTGGTAGGACTAGCGTTAGTAAATTCTATAAGGTTGAGCCCGTGAGCTCACCTATCCGTCCGCACGTAGCTGGAATAGCCCCTACCAGCGTATAGGTAGGAAAAAAATCTTCTGTTAATCTTCAGCTTTACTAGTGTCATGAATATGGGGGGTTAATCATCAATCAGAGATTGCGAAACTCATGCTCTGCGTGATAAAAACAAAAGTATTACTAATCTAAAGCACTGTCTGAAGAAAGTGGATAAGCCTTCATCTCGACTTTCATTTAGTGAAAGTGGGTAACTTAACGCAAGGACCGCAATGTATTGTGCATTCGTTTTGCTTTCAAATCGATATATCGTCTTCTCGCATTAAAACTGTACAATCTCAAAACTTATTAATTTTACAGGAGAGTTTTTTAAAGGTTTAACATGTGTTATTTTTAATATTAATCATCTTTGCAGCATTTATTTTTTTATTTTTTACCAGTTACATTATCTGTCTTTTAAGGTAAGCTAAAATTATGTATTAATTTTGTTAATAGTCGTCAGAACATAGGTAAACTAAAAAAAAAAAACTAAAACTAAACTACGCTCTTTTAACAGTATTTATGAGAAAAATACTGGTGATAAAAAATTATTCCGCATAATAACTCAATTTCACTTTTACTGCGAAAAGATGATATAACCCGGTCGAGTTATCTACACTTGACCTTGACCTCCAATTGGCGCCGACGCATATCTAGGCTATCTCTTCTGGTGAATTTTTATATTGTTGTTGATACACATATGAACCCTTGAACCTGGGTCCTTGGACAGAGATTACAGACACGTGTCGTGGAACCGACCATTGCTGGAGTAGACGGGTCTTGAGTGGAGACGGGGCATCGGTAAATGTATTGTCTTTATAGCGGCCGGCAAGAAATTGATAACCGGTCTGGTGGAAATTGGGAGAGAACTATGTGCAGCAGTGAAAGACTGTGGGCCGATTGATGAAGATGATGACAGACACATCAGGACCTTACATTTAGACAGGAATAGTGGTAACTAACTACCCGTACGCATTTAAATATACCTCTAGTAAATGAGTCGACTATTATCAAAGCCGGCAATCTGACTTTTGGACAATGATTGGTAAATCAGAAAAACGAATTATTGACTTTGTATTCCATTGGCAGTCACAAAACTCTTCGGAACGACATGTTAGATAAATAACAGGTTAACTATTAATCTTTATTTAATGCAGGTTTTGAACCGTATTCTTTGAGGGAGACGATTATATTCAAATCAATCTGTATTGACATATCAATAAAAATTATTGGTCCAAATGCACAGATTGCCACCTTTGATAATAGACGACTCAAATAACAGTGCACTTTGTTAGTGCGTAATTTAACGAGGTCGGATAATAGATAACATATCTTTTTTTTTTTTATTGCTTAGATGGGTGGACGAGATCACAGCCCACCTGGTGTTAAGTGGTTACTGGAGCCCATAGACATCTACAACGTAAATGCGCCACCCACCTCGAGATGTAAGTTCTAAGGTCTCAGTATAGTTACAACGGCTGCCCCACCCTTCGAACCGAAACGCATTACTGCTTCACGGCGGAAATAGGCGGGGTGGTGGTACCTACCCGTGTGGACTCACAAGAGGTCCTACCACCAGTTAAAAATCTATTAGTAAGTTTATTAGTAAATTTTTAGACGCCATCAAACTTTGTGAGTGCTTGGCCTGTAAATTATTTTGTTTATTAGCGCCCAAATGATTTACGATCGCTCACAATAATACAAGTTTCTGTCGCACATTCGTTGTGATTTGTGTCGCTTTACTACGTAATAGTGATTTATATTATTTCCCCTCAGAACATAATGCTTTTAGAATCGTATTCGGGTTTAATGGCCTTTTGATGTGACCTATAGGTAGAGCCGAATCGAATCTGTTCATATATGGAGGTACATTCTTTTTAAAAATGCTATTTTTAAGAAGGACGGAAGGAAGGAAATTAATCCCATTTTTAAAAATCATTAACTAAGTTTTATCTTATTGTGACTAGATTTGACAATGAATATTACAAATTTTTCAAGTTTACGTACTTATTGTAAACAGGGACGTCTTAAATTAGGCTGGAGCCCTTGGGCACACAAGAATTTGAGGCCCTTTTGGAAAGTAAAAAAAATTTTTTTACTGTGTATGACCATTTATTATAGATAATCAAATACAGTATGATATAATATGTTATTAATGATATAAGAATGCTGCTGGTTTTTTGGTTACGATTTCGATAACGGAAGCCGTTATCGTGATCGCTAGATGGTGTACTTAGTAAATAAGGTAGGATGCGTTCGGAAATATTATTAATAGTACAGTAGGAATAGGCGCAGTCATCGATATAATGGCGTAGTATATGCCTTGAAAATACCTTCTGATAATATTACTGATTTGTGAAAAAAGTGAAATAAGTGCCGGACAAAAATGTTTTGAGAATAAATGTGTGAGAGAAATTGACGGTCCTTCGGGGCCCCCTAAGAATGGGGGCCCTGGGCACGGGTCTCATACTCAGTAAAAAAATATTATTGTAATTCGCTTTTTTTACTTTCCAAAAGGGCCTCAAATTCTTGTGTGCCCAAGGGCCCCATCCTAGTTTAAGACGTCCCTGCGTATCAACTATACAACAAATCAATATGTGCATTATTTGTATACGTATTGTTTTCGTCAACATTTCGCCCCCGATACAAAACGAATACTACATTTGCGACTCCAAATTATACATATGCAGAACGATTGTCCCATGACATTTATAAACACGTTTCCCCAATGAAGCATCAGCATTATCTTACTCGCTAAAAACTTGAATTATTTGCCTGCATTAATTTTATTTATAGCTTAGTTTAAAAATTTCAAATGCCAACTAAAGTGTTCACCGGTGAAGCAGCAACTTATAATAATAATACATAAAACAAATCAAATCAAATAAAAAAAAAAAAAAAACTTCTTTTTATTCAACATAAATGAAAGTACACACTTGTTGAACGTCAAAAAGAACTACCGCCAATACACAAAAACTAGCCTCCGTCCTGAGAAGAACTGGCAAGAAATTCAGCGGGAATGTCTTTTTTTTTAAATATTCATTTTTACAAGATGTATTATAACGTAACAATTATTTCAATATTGAAATGTCCTGAGCGAGCAACTCATAATAATAATAATAAAATAGTAAGAGATTTATTCTGTCGTGAAGCATTTTCGGGTTGAAGTTTGAAAGTCTTTATGCAATATATCTGTGACTTTAATGTTTGGTGTTCACATTGACAATGAAATGAGTCGCGTAAATCAGAGAGCCTCGCTTGGAATCAGAATGAAGCCGCAGCGTACTAAATTTTTGTTTCCTACCTATGCTGATAGCCTTGAGAGGCTATTTCAGCTTCGCCCTAACATGTAGGTGAGCTCACGGGGCTCAAACCGAAGTGTTGCTAACATTAGTCCTAGCAAGAGCAGTGCTTCGCAGAATCTACAACCGAATCGGAAACGCGACCCACTGAGAAGATCCGGCGAGAAGCCCAGCCCTTCGTCGCAAGCGTTGGGTTCGCCGAGAACGATGACCGGTACTTGGGGTACCTAAAAGCACCGTTAGTGGATTGGGAGGATCCGAAATGACGTGACATGCCCACCTGGTATTATTATGGTTATAGTATAGTTGTTACCGTTGTACATAGACATGATAAAGTGAATGCTACCACCCACCTCAAGATATGAGGTTGAAGCCTTAATTACGGCCGTTAAGCCTTTTAAGCCGTAGCGCATGACTGCTTCGTGGCAGGATATGACGGAGATCGTCATCGAGCCCTTCGTCGCAAGCGACGGGTTCAGCTAGGACGGTGACCGATGCTTGTGGTACCTAACAGCACCGTTAATGGATCGTACTAAATTACAAGCTCACCAAGTTTATATATTAGTCCGTCTTTGAGTTTCTTCTCGTTGAACTCGGGGTAGGTTGTAGCTCTCCAAGTGGTCCCTTGTTGGTTAACGTCGTTCACCAGGTCCTCGCTCATCATGCACGTGTCTTGAGTGCACGACCAATACGCGTTGTTGTCATTATCGACTTTACATGTACTGAAACAAGGTATACTATTATGAATTTCAGGTAATGACGTAGCGAAAATCGAAAGAGATCGTCTGCAATGGTCCCGTCAATCGTCGAAGTCGTCGTGGCCTAAAGGATAACACGTCCGGTGCATTCGTATGTAGCGATGCAACGGTGTTTGAATCCCGCAGGCGGGTACCAATTTTTCTAATGAAATACGTACTTAACAAATGTTCACGATTGACTTCCACGGTGAAAGAATAACATCGCGCAATAAAAATCAAACGCGCAAAATTATAATTTGTGTAAAATTACTGGTGGTAAGACCTTTTGTGAGTCCGCGCGGATAGGTACCACCACCCTGCCTATTTCTGCCGTGAAGCAGTAATGCGGTTCGGTTTGAAGGGTGGGGCAGCCGTTGTAACTATACTGAGACCCTTAGAACTTATATCTCAAGGTGGGTGGCGCATTTACGTTGTACATGTCTATGGGCTCCAGTAACCACTTAACACCAGGTGGGCTGTGAGCTCGTCTACCTATCTAAGCAATAAAAAAAAATGTAAGCTTATTTTCAAAGTGTCGTAAGCGAGATTCAGGCATCTGCCAAATACCTTGGGTTGTATGATAGCTATCACCACAGTTTTGACGAGATAATTGTTGCACAAAGCGTTTTTTTTTTTTTTTTTTTTTTTATGATTGAAAGTTTACTGTTGGCCCGAAGGCCTTTCCAGTTTCACCAGGACAGGTGGGCGAGCAAAGGCTCAGCCAAGAGGGGTGGGATTTGCTAACAACTGCCCGAGCGCCTCCGAAGGAGACCTAACAACTCAAGAGCAATTGTTTCGCGAATGAACCTACTACCGGATCGGAATCGCGACCCGCTGAGAAGATCCGGCGAGAAACTCAGCGGGCTGATGCATGGGTTAGGTTGCNGGCCTTTCCAGTTTCACCAGGACAGGTGGGCGAGCAAAGGCTCAGCCAAGAGGGGTGGGATTTGCTAACAACTGCCCGAGCGCCTCCGAAGGAGACCTAACAACTCAAGAGCAATTGTTTCGCGAATGAACCTACTACCGGATCGGAATCGCGACCCGCTGAGAAGATCCGGCGAGAAACTCAGCGGGCTGATGCATGGGTTAGGGTTGCACAAAGCAATTCAAACTTGTACGTATTAGGACAGTGAGTTTGCTCATCTACTATAGAACAGATTGCTAGACAAAAATGTCCTTGTCAATCGAGCGCGATCGCGTCTAGCAACTCTATTATTAACTGTACATTAACTGAGGTGTCCTTCGATGAAGCAATTAAAATTAACGCATTTGAAACTGATCTCACCGTTATAATTGCCAGTTGTGTCCTAATTAGAACAATTAGTAGCAACTGAAAACAGTTCAACGCAATTCAATTTAGCGTTTGCGGTGGCCTTGGGTTGCCCGTCAAATGTGTCTGTCGTGCGAGAAATAGCTGGTTGGTTCGAGAATGTGTAAATTTTTAAACTTTTTAAGCTAAATTTTTTTTTGCTTAAATGGGTGGGCGAGCTCACAGCCCACTTGGTGTTAAGTGGTTACTGGAGCCCATTGACGGCTACAACGTAAATGTGCCACCCACCTTGAGATATAGGTTCTAAGGTCTCAAGTATAGTTACAACGGCTGCCCCACCCTTCAAACCGAAACGCATAACTGCTTCACGACAGAAATAGGCAAAGTGGTGGTACCTACCCGTGCGGATTCACTAGAGGTCCTATCACCAGTAATTACGCAAATTATAATTTAAATCATACTATTTTAATAGTACATTGACCACCGCCTTACCTATATCTGCCGTGAAGCAGTAATGTGTTTCGGTCTAATGGGTAGGGCAGCCGTTGTGACTATACTTAGATCTTAGAACTTATATCTCAAGGTGTGTGGCGCATTTACGTTGTAGATGACCACTTAACCCCATGTGGGCTGTGAGCTCGTCCACCCATCTAAGCAATAAAAAATATATTCAAATAACACCAATATCAGTTTTAAAATTCAAGTTTTCTTTTGTATTTTACGTTCCGCGAGTTGACGTACCTATTGAAAAAAAAAATTGTAAGTAATTTGTGTCCCGGCATAAAAACTTTAACACCGGTCGTATTGCCCATTAGGCCACAAACGACTTATACATATTCAAATGGCCTTAAATATCAAACGTAAGCACTGATGTTTCCTAAATGGCTTATGTCATGTTTTCGCGGGGTCGAATATAATTAGCGTGCAAATTATAATACTGTTGCGGTACGCCAAAATATGAATCTCGTCTAGACTCGCTAAATGCTAGGCGTGGTTCGCTTCTTAAAGCCATTTTTGTAGGTCACGGTTCAGTGGGGTACAGTTCTATCAAATTCGCTTTTTTTTTTCTTTTTTTCCTACCTAAGCTGATAGCCTTGAGAGGCTGCTTCAGCGGAACCTTAACTAGGAGGTGAGCTCACGGGGCTCAAACCTAACGACGTTGCTAACACGAACCCTAGCAAGAGCCGTGCTTCGCAGAATCTACCACCGGATCGGAAACGCGACCCACTGAGAAGATCCGGCGAGAAACTCAGTGGGCTGTGTCTGAGGGTTAATTTACTCGTCCAGCCCTTCGTCGAAAGCGACGGGTTCGACGAGAACGGTGACCGGTGCTTGAGGTACCTAAAGCACCGTTAGTGGATCGGGAGGATCCGAGATGACGTGTTTGGGGCGACGTCGACTGCTTTCCATTCTTTCCACAGGATCGGAAATGTAGTTACCGGCGGCCACGATGAGAGGGTTCTCGTGTCGTGCCGCTTTGTCAAAGTGGAGACGTACATACACTAACATGTGTAAACATAAATAAAACTACTCCCAGCAAACGTCTTGCCTTTAATATTTTCATTATATTATTATATGTCCGACGTTCCGAATAGGTACTTTATGGTTACTGTGCTTACGAACAACAACTGAGATGTCGTAAAATTCTGGCAAACTTATGGTACTTTGTCTATTTTTGTCGTGAAGCAGTAATGCGTTTGGGTTTTAAGGGCGATGCAGCCGTTTTACTTGAAAAACTGAGATCTAAGAACTCATGTCTCAAGATCGGAAGCTAGTACCTAACTGACATTTCGAAGGCCACAGTCAAGTGTGCAAATAGCAGCTGACCAAATTCGAACCGGTGTATTGTCAATGGACCCCCTGCCTTCGATAGAAAAATATATAGACAAAGCCACAGAAATAAATCAAGATATTATTTCTGTGGACAAAGCATACACATCGCATAAACATGAAAAACCATTTGGAGACAGAAAACTAACAGTACTCTTTTGTTAATAATAGTACTTTTCCTAGTACAGTCGAAGATAAAACTTTAAGAGGTAGTTCATTAAATAAACTAAGAAACGCTTTAGATGAATAAGCGTAGGGCAATGACCGGACTTTAGTATCAAAGTTAAAGCTTAGTGTTCATTGTTAAGTGTTTATAGTCATGCTAGGCTACTTATGTGTTTACAACTTGATATTAACATTTGTTTCTTAAACTCAGTAACACTTAGTAACACACAAACTTAGTAACACCGAAAAATTCTATATTCAGAATCCTTTAGTTTTTTGTTGTAACTTTTTCGTTTTTTAGACATATGCGACAATGGCTCACCTGAGATTCAGTGGTTGCAGCTTCCACTAACAAAAAATATTGGTGGTTATTAAAACTGTCACGTGTATGAGAATGAGTTTGAAGTCCAGATCGTTGTAAAGAATTACATTCCTTACCTACGACGGGGCTCTGCAATCCTAAGGGAGCGGGATTATAATCATATATCCACTTAAACACCCACTTCACTGTTCAAACCCTACAAGGTTAGGATAGAGGCCACTTGAGACAAACTCCACACTCGCATTTTTTCCCCTACCTATGTTTGAGAGGCTATTTCAGTTTCGCCTTGACGTGTATCACGGTCCTCAAGCCGGAGTGTTGTTAATACTGGCACTAGCAAGAGCAGTGCTTCGCAGAATCTACCACCGGATCGGAAATGCAACCCGCTGAGAAGATCTGGGGAAAAACTCAGTGGGCTGTGTCTATGGGTTAATTTACTCGTCGAGCCCTTCGTCGTAAGCGACGGGTTCGGCGAGGACGGTGACCGGTGCTTGAGGTACCTAAAAGCAACGTTATTAGATCGGGAGGATCCGTAATGACGTGTTTGACACTCGCTGAAGGCTGCTATTACTCATAGCGGAATTTCATACAGACTAACTATCGCTGGCGATCTGCCTTTGCAGCCTACCGCGGGCTCAGAATTGTACCTTAAAACATTACAATAAACTAGTCGCGGAATACGTTTTAACAGATGATCGATTGACAATATTTTTGTCCTTCATACATAAATACATTTAAAGTGCGGAAGTCATAAAATTACGTCATCTTTGCCGCGAACGAAAAAAAAAAGCGGACTATGGAAACGTGATTTGATGTTTCTTCCAGTTTATTCGATCATTGCTTGTGAATTAACATACGCGAGCCTTGATATTCAAATAATATGTTTTGAAAAATAAAATGTCGTAATGATGAGATATGAAACAAGACGCAAGGCCTGCGAATAACCCAAATGATATATTTTCTACGGTTAGTTCTGTTTAGCTAGTTCTGTTCTTTTACTGGTGGTAGGACCTCTTGTGAGTCCGCGCGGGTAGGTACCACCGTCCTGCCTATTTCTGTCGTGAAGCAGTAATGCGTTTCGGTTTGAAGGGTGGGGCAGCCGTTGTAACTATACTGAGACCTTAGAACCTATATCTCAGGGCGGGTGGCACATTTAGGTTGTAGATGTCTATGTATATATCTAAAAAGATCTATATATCGATGTAGATATCTAAAAAAAACTAATATCAAGAATGACATAGAACATAAACACATCATTTTCACGCGTAAGAACGGTAGGAGGTGCAAAACAATATTTATTAGTAACTAAATGTTTCTAAAACTCTTCGTTGTAATTTAGCGTTTGCTCTGAATATTTTAGTTTAATACGACAGAAGGAATAAGGTAAAACTTTAGATA